AGATGGCGGCAGACTTCCTCACCAAGCGTCTGCCACGTCAGCAGTACAAGCACTGCTCTGACCTCACCGGAGTAGTCAAGCGAGTCAGCTCCACCCGCGTCCAGGAATGAAGGGGAGTGTTACGATATGAAGTTTTATGAGAAGGCATTCGTGTATGCTCCAGGAGCCGACTCTACCGAGTACAAAGTCGAGGAGTCAGAAGAGTCGAAGCGACGCGGCAACCGCCTGACCAAGACCGATGCAGGCAGAAACATTTGAGTTGAAAAGAGCGGGAACAAGTTCAAAACGGGTTCCCGCGCCGCACGGTTTGAAACTGCTGCAATAAGGGAATGTACCCCTTAGAGTACATGGCTAGCCTAGGTCTTTTCGTATTCCCCTGTATTCTTATATAAACCCGATGTATGCATATTTTATCAACTCAGTCATTTACATTCACTCTGACATGAGATTCAAACTTCCGCTGCAAACACTACTCTGCAATCAACCCTGAGCGATCCTTTGCTAAGTCCCACTTGGGATTGTAATAGTTCATGAGAGTAGTTCATGTGTCTAAACTATAATTGGAGAAAAAATCGCGCATTCCCCTAGCAAGCTGACTGCAAGTATCAACAACTATCATTGTCGAATTGCCCTCTCAATTGGATTGCTAAGTACGAGTTTCAATACGGTAGTCTATTGCATTCCGGTTCATTCCAATATCCTCGTAATCTCTGGGTATCCGTTTCGTTATAGAAATGCTTGACATTCTACTGTTTACGGACCGGGCAGGGACTTGTTTAGAGACCAAATGAATGGTACCGTTGTGGTGCTATTCGAACAGTATAACGGGATAACAAACCCCACATCCTGGTCCTAGTCTGTTGTTGGTTCACGTGCTGGTTCTTGAGCTGGTCCTCCAGATCCGAGCCGGACCCACGTGTACTCAGACATTTGAGACACCTTCTTACTGTTTGAAACTCACACATAGTGTTTTCAAACGCGCATTTTATGTTTGATCCGCACCTATTCAGTTGTTTCACCACAACTTTTTTTCCACCCGTAGTGTGACGCGCATATCTATCACACCTTAGGGCGTATTCCTATGGCCTCCTATCAAGAAACCTCATATCAAGATTGTACCTTTTGCCTGGTAAAAGTAGCGAGAGATTTCGGGTTTAGGGAATTTTCCAGTGAGAGCTTGATAGGAGGTTTTCTTGATAGGAGGATAGGAATACGCCCTTAGACTGCGAATTGTGGTCATCATGTGTTTGGACGATCGTATGCATGAACACTGAAATCTATGTTTGTGGAAATGCACCGCGTCAAGGAGCGGTCTATCAACCACGTTCTAGTGGATGTCGCACCAATGTGATCGAAAGTGGTGCACTACGCAACAGGACGGTCAATGAACATCATACAATGGTTATGTAAGATATTCAGCGATAATGAACTGTCGTAATTTATGCTTACAACATCTATCCGTAAGGGACGATTAATAGCAAAAATCTCAATACTGCGAAGGAACTGTAGCAATTTTACGCGCTTGAAATCAAAGTTGATGGGTAGGATAACGCCACATCTACGTAAAAATTGGTTGTATACATGATACTAAGAAAATGCACGCGAATTCGCTCTACCCATTCACTTTGCTTTCCCATTTGCAATTCAGCACGACCAATTGCACGTATAGTACAAGCCTTTTTTTCTTATTGCGGCTGTTAATGAATCGGTTTATCTCGTTGTCATCCGTCTCTTCGTTATTTATTTTTAATTGCTACTAGAGCCAATATGGTGATGCTCAGCCAATCCCTTGAATTTGCCAGCCCCCAAATGTAAGATATTTCTCTTGCATTCCAACACGACCAATGACCCCTCGTCTGCAAGAACATTTTGGCGAAAATGCAAAAAAAAAAAAAAAAAAAAAAAAAAAACATATACAACTGCACAAGTGCCCATACATACCAAGAGATGTCATTCCCAAATCTTAAGATATTTAGAGATTGCAACTTTTAGGTTCATTATTGTCCCATTTTTCCCATGGTAAAATCTACGAAAATATCGAAATGTATTTGCTCGTTTCACTTCACTGCCGCCCCTAAAGGTGGCATGCGCCACGCTAATTTTTCCGGACGGTTTTTTTTTTTTTTTTCCGAGTAGGGCGGAAAAGCATGTGCGTTTCACACACTTTGATAAGGCGAATTTTGCGTACGTCTAATGCGCAACAGGTTTAATTGCTGTGATCTGCCATTCATGCCTTGAAAGATTCGGCCTTGATTTAGAGCTCAAATGTCTCACAATTTTACAATGCGCACTGTTCTATTTAGAAGAACGATATGAGGCGGAAAAATATGCCATGCTTCTGTCCCCCTAACGTCTTATCGGCAATGTCTCGCTCTCCACTTTTCTTGCATGATATGTACACCTAACACTTGCCAAATTCCCTACCACCAATTTCATACCATTAGGCAATGATTCATGGTTTACCCGTGTCAAAATTTAGAAGAAAGAAGAGGATTGCAATAGCAAGAATGAGGATACAAATAGCAAACCCTAGAAGGGTTGTACTCGCTATAGAGCACCCTACTACAGGCTAGAGCATAAGATAACATTCTGACAACCCGAACCAGTGGGTTGTTATAAAGGCATTCGATTTCAGAGAGGGTACGTGCAACCCAGTATATATGAGCTTGGAGCTTGGTGCTCAGTATATATTGAGTGGATAGCAATGAAAAAAACGGTCAATGCGCTGTGGTAGCATGAGGTCGTTTTATGGCATCATGGGAGTTACGGAACCATTCATGCCCTTAAATTCTGGACGTTCATTGCAGAAGCCAAAATCTGGTTAGGAGTTTCTCGAAACCAGTTGCAGGACGTGAAATTGGCGAGCGTTAGGTGTACACCCATAGCTGCCGTCTCTCACTTTCACCACCGCACAATCCGCGGAATTTCTGTTTCCATCACCTCTAGATGAGATGCCTGCCTTGTTTGTGTTCCATGGGGTCCTCGAGATTCTTGCACGGCAACATCGTGTCGATCCTCCACATGATTTAGCGGCGATACTGTATAATACAGAGCATGTACATTACAGTTCTCAGCAAGGAAAATCAGCTCTCAGAGCATTCCCAGTTATCAAACTGCACGTCCAGTACTACCCCACTCGCTCCTGATCCTCCAGCATGGGTCTCCACCCGCACATGGTCGTGCAAGAGCACGAGCTCTACGGTTTCCAATGCCGCGGGCTGTTTGCGAGCAGATTAATCGCACAAGGCGAGATCGTTTGCGATTGGGACCAGGAGGAAGAAGAGCGGCGAGTGTACTACCACGCTCATGACTTATTGGCGGTACCCGATAAGGAGAAGCGCGATTTCATGATTCGATATTCGTACATGGTCGAGGACGACGTGTACGACACGACAACCGACCCCGACGAGGACCCGAGCCTCTATTACAACCACTCGTGCGATCCCAACTCGTGGTACATCAACCCACGTTGCATGGTGGCCCTGCGCGACATTCAACCGGGCGAGCAAGTCACGTACGACTACGCCACCACGGAAACAGAGGGTAGCATGCACGCCGGTTTGCTCTGCCGCTGCGGCGCCGCGAGCTGCCGCGGCACGCTCAAATTTTCCGAGTGGCGCTCGCGCGACTGGCAGCAGCGAAACGCCGGCCACTGCTCGGCCTATATCGAGCGGAAGATGGCCGAGTCGGGGTGGTACGATCCGCGCGTAATTCCGCGCTACAAGGGCGGCGCGGACGGCTCCAAGGGGCTGTTTGCATTGGCGAGCATTGGACGCGGGGAACGGGTTCTCGTTTTCCCCGGCAAGGTTGCCGGCGACGTTGTCGGCGACGAACGCACGCGACAGCTCTCGCTGCAAATAAACGAATCTGAGTCGTTAAACGGGCAGAAACCAGATCCGACGCGTGGGCCGGAGACGCCCGAACTCATCAACCACTCGAGCGACCCAAACTGCGGAATGGAAGAAGACTTGGTGACGGTGGTGGCTTTGCGGGACATCGCGCCAGGCGAAGAGTTGAGCATCGACTACGGTAGCATTACTAACTCAGGCGCCAACCGCACCGTCCAGTGACAACTTCCGCTGCCAGTGCGGCGCGTCGGCCTGCGAGTGCGGCGCGTCGGGCTGCCGCATTCGCAGCGCCAGTGGCGGATGCCTGAGCTGCAGCAGAGGCTATCGTTCCCGCCGAAGCGGCTGATTGTGAGGGAGTTGGTGGAGCAGATCACGCGATCCGATGCCATAGAGTAAGCCCTAATTTCGGGAGGTGAAAAAGCAGCCTTGCTTAGCTCAAGCCTTGTGGGTAGTGTCATAAAGCGGGAAGATGAAGGCGTGGTGTGCAAATCGGTTGGTGGGGATGATTCGTCGAAGTACAGGGAACATGAGATTGTGTTACTGGTATGTCTCCTGGTAATGATAATATTTCTATGTTTCCAGGTGTTTCCAGTGGTATCTAAAGCGGGATACGGGCAGCTCCAGCTGTCAAAACACAAGTATTTGTGTGGTGATTGTTGTAAACACTTATTGAAAGTTCAATGTAAAAAGCAGCTCCAAATTGGGTTACCGTATCACTATCTAGTGGTAGCAATGCGGCCAAACGACCAAGCATGGTGAGCTGCATCAGAGACGAGTGAAACAAGGCAGCGACAACAAACAGTGGCTCTGCCAGCTCGCCGCACAGTGCCCTCTGATGCTCCTCCCCCCCATGCCTGCCAGCTGGCTGGCACAGTCTCCGCGCAAAACAAAGACCACAGGTGGACGGCTATCTGCGACCCCCCATGACAGGGTGCGGTGTACTACGAGGAATCCAGGAAGGGATTACCACAAGGAGATCAGGTGTGGAATAAAAAGAGGCCCTGGAGTTGGATTTCAGAGAAAAGCAGTGGCGGAGGCAGGGCAGGCAGGCCTTTTCAGCCAGTCCACCACCTCTTTCATCACCGCCTTCTTACGTTAGCCTTCCGAGTCGACTCAAAACGAAGTGACTTTTGAGCCGGCTTAAAAGTCATTTCAGAGGAAAGCAGTGGGGGAGGCAGGGCACGCCTTTCTTAGCCGGTCCACCACCTCTTTCAGCACCGCCTTCTTGGCCTTCCGGAATCGCACCGCCACCATCCGCTCATCCGCCTCAGCCCTAAGCTCCTCACACCCACACCGCACCCCCATCACAGTCATCCTCTTCGCACCCCCGTTACTACCGCCGCCGATGTTCCCATTCTCCGACCCGCTGCCTTCCTCCTCGCTCTCCCCGCTGGCCTGCTCTCTCTCCCACGCGTCGCAGTCCATCGCCTCCTCTTCCTCGCTCCTGCTCTTGAAATCAGCATCCGTCCCCTCCTCCTCCTCGTTGTTGTCACTCTCGCTGTTGTCATCATCACTGTAGTCGTCGCTGATCCTCCCCTCGCTAACAGCACGCCGGCGCTGGCGCCGGCTAAGACGCTTCGCAGAAACTTCCTCCTCCACGCTTGTCAACTTCTCCTTGTGCTGCTGCTTGCTCTGCGCCGCCTTCTTCTTTCCTTCCCTGCCCAATTTCCCACCCTTCACCCCCTCCTTCTCCCTCTCCCCCGCCTTCCCGCCGCTCTTGCACCGCTCCAGCTCCCTCAGGATCGCTTCGTCCTCTTCTATGCTGGTCGGCATCTGCTGCAGCCGCGCCTGCGCTAGCAGACGAACGGTGTCGGCCGCTGCTTGCAGGGCGGGCAGCACATTGGAGAAGGGGGAGGCCACGTCCTTACAGCCGCTGTTGCTCACCCCCCAGCCCAGGTACAGCACTGACTTGGCCATGTCCGATGGGGGCTCTGGTGGGTGGAAGGGAGAGAACATATAGGAGAAGGAGTGGAAATGTGTCTGGGCTATCTATCAGCATGTCTGCGTTAACAGCCACTGTTGCTCACTCCACTGTTGCTCACCCCCCAGCCCAGGTACAGCACTGACTTGGCCATGTCCGATGGGGGCTCTGGTGGGTGGAAGGGAGAGAACATATAGGAGAAGGAGTGGAAATGTGTCTGGGCTATCTATCAGCATGTCTGCGTTAACAGCCACTGTTGCTCACTCCACTGTTGCTCACCCCCCAGCCCAGGTACAGCACTGACTTGGCCATGTCCGATGGGGGCTCTGACGGAGGGAGGGGAGAGAGCAGAGAAAGAGTGAGGGGTGAATGCATGATTTGGCTATCAACATGTGGGTCCCGACAGCCACTGTTGGACCCCCCCCAGCCCAGATACAGCACTGACTTGGCCATGTCGGCCGGGGGTTCTGGTGGAGGGAGGGGAGATAATGTGAAGGGGAAGGAGTGGAAACGTGACTTGAGGTAGTAGTACCACGTGCAGCGAACACAGCCAACACGTTTGCACACTCCCTTCAATGTACTATTAGGAATACAATAATTATAAAAGTAACACCTTAACACCCAATAATCATCGCTCCATGTAGTCCGCACAGCAGCGAACACAGCCGACAGGTTCGGCTCGGCTCAGCTCGGCTCGGCTCCACACAGGAATGCCGGAAAGATAGACTCTCAGATTCAAACTCACCGTTCAAAGCTCACCCGGCAGCTCTCACCTGACTGGTGCATGAGATAGTACCACACAGCAGAAAACACTGCCATCAGGTTCGGCTCCACGATCCCACCTCTCCACACAGACACGGCGAAACTCGGGTCCTTGTATTTCCCTGTCAGCACCTCCACTCCGCCATTCACCTCGTCCGCCTCGCTCTCTCCCTCCATACCCCCTGCCGCTACTCCTAACCACACACACACCCCGTTGCTCGCCTCTCTCATCCCTCGTCCTCCCCCCATCCCCTCCTCCCCTCATTCAACCAACACTCCCATGCGAGTCTCACCTGAATGGTGCTTGAGGTAGTACCACACAGCAGCAAACACCGCCATGAGATTCGGCTCCATCCACAATCCCTCCTCTCCACACGGACACGCCAAAGCTCGGGTCCTTGTATTTCCCTGGCAGCACCTCCACTCCGCCATCCACCTCACCTGAGTGTAGCAACCCTCACCTGACTGGTGCTTGAGGTAGTACCACACAGCAGCGAACACAGCTAGCAGGTTGGGCTCCACGATCCCTCCTCTCCACACCGACACGCCAAAACTGGGGTCCTTGTATTTCCCTGTCAGCACCTCCACTCCGCCATCCACCTCGTCTGCCTCGCTCTCCCTCCTGATCTCCTGCCGAGCCAAGTACTGAGGCATGGCCCCCACGTGCACGAACTGCTTCTCTGCCTCTGCACGCTCCCTGGCAATTGCTTCTACTGCCTTGGCTGCCACCCGCCAGAGCGCCTGCCGCACTCGCAGAAGCTTGGCTGTTGGGGAGTCTGACTGCTGCTGCTTCTTGATCTTCTTCTGCTTCTGCTTTCCATGCCTGCTGCCGCTCTTGCTCTTCCCCTTGCTCTTTTTCTTGTTCTTGTGCTTGTTTCTGTTGCTGTTCTTCCGCTTCTTCCCTCGCCCCTGCGCTTTGCTTTTGCCCCACCTGCTCCCGGCAGCTTCATCATCATCATCTTCACCCTCCTCATCGTCGTCCTCCTCATAGTCATCACCATAACCATAACCATCATCATCACCATCTGCATCACCATCCGCATCACCATCAGTACCCTCGTTGACCAGCCAGTCACCCAGCCCTTCTCCCCAGATGCGTGCCAAGCCCTGCTTCAGCTCCCTATCCCCTTTGCTGCCCGCCTCTGCACTCACAGCCGCACCACCACCTTCCACAGCCTCATCCCCGTACTTCGCTGCACATGTCCGTTTCTTCCCCTTCTCCTCTTCCTCTCCCTCACTCTCCTCGTGACACTCACTCACATCCCCAACCTCCCCTGCCTTGCCGCCCTTTCCAGCCGCCCCACCCAAGCCGCCCGGGCCCGCCACCCACTCGCCGGGGCGGGCGGCGTCACGGTGCAGGACGAGGGCGACCAGGTTCACTGCATCGAGCAGCGTGCGGAAGAGCAGCACGTTCTCCTGCTTGTTGCCGTCCAGCACAAAGCCGTAGCCCAGCAGCAGCTCCTCGTTCACCTTGGGGCCGTATGACGTGAACAGCTCGGCGCCCTTGGTGAATGGCATCAAAGCTATGAACTCAAACTGTGATGCTTGAATCTGGACGGAGGAGGAGGGGGGGAGTATGGGGGAGGAGAGGGGGGAGAGACGAGAGGGGCAGGAAACGGGAGGAGAAAGGGGAGGAGAAGAGGAGTAGACGGGGAGGAGAGGGGGTGGAGAAGATGTGAACAGCTCGTCGCCCCTGGCAAAGGGCATCAAAGCTATGAAGTCAAACTGTGATGCTCCAATCTGGGTGGAGAAGGAGAGGAGAAGGGGGGGAGAAGGGGAGGAGAGGGGGAGGAGAAGGGGAGGCGAAGGGGAGGAGAGGGGGAGGAGAAGTGGAGGAGAAGGGGAGGAGAGTTGGGAGGAGAAGGGGAGAAGGGCGTGGAGTGCTCTCAAACGAAGGAAACGGATAGAAAGCTGCAAGCTCGGTTCGACCGACGGATAGAAGGGCGTGGAGTGCTCTCAAACGAAGGAAACGGATAGAAAGCTGCAAGCTCGGTTTGACCGACGGATAGAAGGGCGTGGAGTGCTCTCAAACGAAGGAAACGGATAGAAAGCTGCAAGCTCGGTTCGACCGACGGATAGAAGGGCGTGGAGTGCTCTCAAACGAAGGAAACGGATAGAAAGCTGCAAGCTCGGTTCGACCGACGGATAGAAGGGCGTGGAGTGCTCTCAAACGAAGGAAACGGATAGAAAGCTGCAAGCTCGGTTCGACCGACGGATAGAAGGGCGTGGAGTGCTCTCAAACAAAGGAAACGGATAGAAAGCTGCAAGCTCGGTTCGACCGACGGATAGAAGGACGTGGAGTGCTCTCAAACGAAGGAAACGGATAGAAAGCTGCAAGCTCGTTTCGACCGACGGATAGAAGGGCGTGGAGTGCGGGCATGAAGAGGGCACGAAGACATAGCCCAGCAGCAGCTCCTCGGATCATGTCGCACAAGACACCTCCTCCTCTCAACCCCCCACATCTCAATATCCAAGTCCACTCACATCGTACTGAGCCTGGAACATGTCTTCATGATCCAGCAGCTCTGCTATCGGCACGAGCGCTGAAGGGCCCGCTCGCTAGAGGCACCTCCTGCTGCTTGCCATCCACCATGGCGGTAACCGTGTTACCATCCACCACTGCGCCATGCCCCACATGATTTACTCACATCATACTGAGCCTGGAACATGTCTTCATGGTCCAGCAGCTCCGCTATCGGCACGAGCGCTAAGGGCCCGCTCGCCAGAGGCACCTCCTGCTCCTTGCCCTCCACCATGACGGTAACCGTGTTACTGCGCGTCTGGTCCCCGAAGGCGCGCGAGTTGATGATGGAGACGGCCCACAGGTACTCAAAAAAAGTGGTGTTGGCACGTAAGTGCGGTGCAATGCGGTTGTACTCCGACCGGTAGTTGTTCAGATGGGTGGATATCTGACCCAGAAGGGTGGAGGGGGTTGGAGAGGGATGGAGGATGGTAAGAAGAGGGGTGGAGAGGGGTTGATATCTGACCCAGAACGGTGGAGGGGGATGGATAGGGATGGAGATGGCTCAGGAATATTCTTGGCGATCGAAGTCCAGATGGGGTGTTTTGTGGGGAGGGAGGTAAGGAGACGGGAAGAGGTGCCGGGAAGGAGGGATGCACACATACACACACGATCGCACACGTACATGCACACACGCACATACACACACCCGCGCACGCGCACACACACACACACACACACACGGACACACGCACACACACCCGCGCGCGCACACACACATACACACGGATACACACACACACACACACACACACACACGATCACACACGCACGCACGCACACACACACACACACGATCACACACCTACATGCACACGCGCGCATACACACACACCCGCACACACACACACGCGCGCACACACACACACGCACACACTTGCACACACGTGGGCGCACACACACACACACACACACGCACGCACACACACACACACACACACACACACACGCACGCACGCACACACCCACACACAATTACACACGCACGAGCGCGCGCACACACACACACATACCCACAACCAGCCACTACCCTCCCCTCCTCCCCCAACCCAGCGCACACCCACATCCACACACACACACTCGTCCACCCACCCACCTTCTGTACAAAAGCAGGCGAGTCGAGCTCCATCAGCGTTTCCGGCTTGAAGAAGAACGGCAGGCCGACAGAGGGAGGCAGGAACTGCAGGTACGGCCACCAGAACGACTCCCTGCCCTTCACCATCTCACGACACAGCCATGCAGCGGCCATGCCGGTGGACCAGACAGGCCCCTGGTAGGGCAATCCGTCCTGCAGCATCTTGTCTGTGGCCAGGAAGAGCGCTCGAGGGATGGTCATCATGTGCTCCCCTGCCTGCTTGCGCGCCTGCCCCGCATACACTGTCAGTTGCCGCCTGGTAGGAGGGAGGTGGTGGGGAGGTGGTGGGATGGGGAGGTGTGGCGCATGAAAGAGAGGTGGTAGGGAGGGGGATGGGATGGGATGGGATGGGATGGGATGGGATGGGATGGGATGGTCAGCATGAGCTCCCCCGTCCGCCGCTGCGCCTGCCCCGAGTAGACTGTCAGTTGCCGCCTAGAGGGGGGGGAATGGAGTTTTGAGACGTCTAGAAACCCGCGCCTGCCCCGAGTAGACTGTCAATTGCCGCCTAGAGGGGGGGGGATGGGCGTGGAGGGGTATACACTAGGGGCTAGGGAGAGGGGTCAGCCATGGTGGGGCTGGGGCGGAGCGGGGGGGATTGGGGTGGGGAAGCGGGGTGGCTGGTTTGGGAAGGTGAGAAGGTGGGGTTGTTGCGGGATGTGTGTAAGCAGAGAGGAGTGTGACAGATGAAAAGAGACCCGTGTGTGTGTGGTAATCGCTTGCATGTTGGGATGTTACCATGTCCCCAAGTCATGGTGTTACAATGTTACCATGCTACCATACTGGCAGAGGGCACTTGGAGGAGTGCTGACATGTGCATAGGGTCCCTCCCAGCGCACCTGAGTACCTTACCCTTCTGCCTCCAACCACCTGGGTTTCCACCTGAATGCACCTGGGCTTCAACCAGGTGTCAGCAACAGCCTTTGCACCAGATGGCTTGGAGTTGCGATACACCAGCTGCACGGGGGGAAGGGGAAATGGGGCGATGGGAGGGGGCAATGGGGCGTTGGGAGGGGGAAATGGGGCGATGGGAGGGGGCAATGGGGCGATGGGAGGGATCTATTTTGTAATCGACTCAAGAATACACTCGTCACAGATGGCTTGGAATAATGATACACCAGCTGCAATGGGAAGGGGCGATGGGGCGATGAAAGGGAGGGGAAAATGGGAGAAGGTGTTACCAAAGTTGGTATATCAACTGGTGGAAGATGGTTCCTGGCATGGCACAGTCGGGATATGCCAGATTTTCCGAATCCAAGAAATGATCTTCACCACTCGAATGGTCCTTGAATGGTCTTTGCATGGTCCTCCACTCACTCAATTCAACAGTGGTTGTCTCCTAACGAGCAATAACAAGGTTTCAATGATAAGCTTCTCTCACCTGGAAAATGGATCCTGGAGCAGCAAAGTCAGGGATGCCGTTCTCACGAATCCACTGCACAAACTCCTCCAGCCGCTCCTCATCATCCAGATCCTCCATCGCCTCTCTCGCCAGCTCACTCCACTCCCCCCTCTCCCCTCCCCTCCCCGCCCCCACCTCCCCTCCCTCCCCTGCTCCTCCTGCCCCTCCCGTGCCGCTGCCTAGGGCGGCAGCGGCGGTGGCGGCAGTGGCAGCGGCCTGGGCTTCGTGGGGGTATTGGACGGAGCAGGAGGATTTCAGGTGGGAGGAGAGGAAGGCGAGGATGTCTCGCTTGCTGGCTCGAAACGCCACCACGGGCTTCACTGCTGCTGCTTCCGCAAAGAAAGCCGGTGTGCACACCTGGGGAGACGAAGAGGGGAAGGGGGAGGGGGAGGGAGTGAGAAGGGGGGAGGAAGGGAGGGAACTGTAGGTGAGAGTGAGAACGCCAGCACGGGCTTGACTACTGCTGCCTCCGCAAAGAAAGCCGGTGATCACTGCACACCTGGGATGGAGGAAAGAGGGGAAGTTGAAGGGAACAGGGGGCGCGAGGGGGAGTGGAGGGGAGTGAGGGAGGTGAGAAGGGGAGCACCACCACGGGCTTCACTGCTGCTGCCTCCGTGAAGAAAGACGGTTTGCAGACCTGGGAAGGGCAGTGGTGAAAGGGGGACGCTATCCGGAAGGAGGTGGAGAGAGTGGGAGGGTGGGGTGGGGAGTGCCAGTGAAGGGAGGTGAGAAAGGGAACGCTACCACGGGCTTCACTGCTGCTCACTGCAACTATGTCACAGGATTTTCTACCACGGGCTTCACTGCTGCTGCCTCGGAAAGAAGGCAGGTGGGCAGAGCTGGAAGGGCGGGGCGGGGGTAAGAAGGGAAAGGAAATAGGGAAGTGCCATGGTAAGGGTAACGGGTAAAGGAAGAGAGAGGGGAGCAGAGCACATCTCCTGGGCATGCAGCAAAACACATTCATGCTCCCCCAACAATACACGAGCTCCCTCACCTTTTCCAGGGCCTCGTGCGAGAAGCTTCTAGGTTGAGATCCGAAAATAGTCAAGCCATCCAACCTCTTGGAGAGGATCTCTGGACGCTGTGCCATGTGGCAGATGGGCTCCATCTCTATCAGCCCTCAAGTTGGTAGCGTGTTTGAAGAAGTGTTTTGAGACGTCTCAAAACAGATGGGCTCCGTCTCTATCATCCCTCAAGTTGGAACCGACAAACCTCATGGACATGCAACCCAACACAAGAGCTCAGTTCTCACCCGCCCTCACCTTATCCAGGGTCTCGGATAGATTCTCCGAGTGCTGCGCCATGTGGCAGATGGGCTCCGTTCATCATCCCTCGAGTCAGTGACACACCTCGCACAGCCGTACAACAGAGCACGGGTATTTCCACAAGCTCTCCCACCTTATCGGAGGATATACAATGAGCTCTCTCTTTCTCACCTTATCCAGGGTCTCGGAGAGAATCTCCGAGTGCTGTGCCATGTGGCAGATGGGCTCTGTCCCTATCAGCCTTCAAGTCGGTGCTGACAAAACTCATGGGTATGCAACCAAACACAAGAGCTGAGCTCCCTCACTCACGTGGCACACCGAGCGTCACTCACATGGCACACCGAGCGTCACTCATGTGGCACACCGAGCGTCACTCATGTGGCACACCGAGCGTCACTCATGTGGCACACCGAGCGTCACTCATGTGGCACACCGAGCGTCACTCATGTGGCACACCGAGCGTCACTCACCTTATCCAAAGTCTCGGATAGAATCTCAGAGTGCTGCGCCATGTGGCAGATGGGCTCCGTCTCTATCAGTCGCCGCCCGACCTCGTCGAGAGCAATCATTGCAGTCATGAGATCTGATATCGGCCGCTGCAGGCTGCTGGCAGTGACGTCCAGGGCGAGCGAGAGTGCGGTTACCACCGGGTGGTTACCGGGTGACGGCGGCGAGGCGGAGGGGTTGGTGGGGTCGAGGGGGACGTGCATGTAGAGTGGGTGGGAGGGGTCGGAGAGCAGCGGCATATACGTGCATGTTGTGATGCTGTCCAGGTTCCATGCGTATGACACGCTCACACGCGCCAAGGAGATGACGTCCGGCACTGATAAAAAGGGAGTGGGGTGGGAGACAAGGGAGGGAAGGGAGGGAAGGGGATGGGAGGGGAGAGGGTTTTTTTTTATGTCTGAGAAGCCATCCAGGCTCCATGCGTATGTTTGAGACGTCCCAAAAACACCCTCAATACACGAGGGAAGGGGATGGGAGAAGAGAGGGTTTTTTCAATGCCTGAGAAGCCGTCCAGGCTCTATGCGTTTGCCATGCTCACTCGCGCTAAGGAGATGATGTCAGGCACTGGAGGGGCGAGGGGAGGAGGGAGTGGGAGCTGGGTAGGTAAGCCCAACCCAATACACAAGCAAGCCATTCTGTGTAACTAAACACACATGCGACCTCAGGGCTGCTGAAAAGCATGAACGACTTTCATCATAAGGAAGTCTCACAAATGCTCCGCACACGCAAGTCACTCACTTTTCCCTGTGGCTGCCATGCCAGCAGCACAACAGCGCTGAATCACGACACCAGCTATTAGATATAGAGGAGCTACCCAACGAGCAACTCTGTGCAGCAGACGCGACTCACTTTGCCCTGTGGCAGCCAGCAGCACAACAGCACTGAAGGGCGCCACGAGCGAACAGATACAGGGGAACTACCTGACAAGCAGCCCTGTGCAGTGCAAGTAAGCGCACACACGACTCACTTTGGCCTGTGGCAGCCAGCAGCACAACGGCACTCAAGTGCGCCACCAGCTCAGGGTCCATCCTGCCATCCAAATACCCATACAGCCCCTCCACCGCATCCCCCTTTGGGCTTTGAGGCAGCCTGAGGGGTGCCGCAAAGCCCGACTCACTTACTTTGGCCTGTAGCTGCAAGCAGCACAACGGCACTGAAGTACGCCACGAGCTCAGGGTCCATCCTGCCACCCGAACGGGAGGATCCATGTTCACTTTTGCGAACCTTAAACAATCCTTCACACACGCAACTCACTTTGCCCTGTGGCAGCCAGCAGCACAACGGCACTGAAGTACGCCACCAGCTCAGGGTCCATCCTGCCACCCGAGTACACATACAGACCCTCCACCGCATCCTCCTCGTCCTCCCCCCACTCCTCCTCTTCCTCCTCATCTCCTCTCCCCTTCCTCCCCTTCCTCCCCTTCTTGCCCTTCTTGCCCTTGCCCGTTCCCTCTACCTCGCCTCGTTCTGCCCTCTCAGCCTCTAGTTCAGCCAGCAGGGCAGCGGCTCGCTTCCTCTGCCGCTGCCGGTACCGTTGCCGCATGGCCCGTCGCCTCTCCCAGAACAGCAGCTGATCCACCACGCCCCCTCCACACCCCTCCTCCTCCTTCCCCGCCTCCTCCGTTTTCCCAACCACTCCCTTCCCTCCTCCCTTTCCTCCTCCCTTCACCCCTCCTCCTCTCTCCCCCTTGCCGCCTCTCCCTCCCACGCCGCGGCCGCTCTCGGCCCGCACAGCGGCAGCGAGCAGCTTTTCCTGCACCAGGGTGGAGAGCACCTGCTGCTTCACCCCGCGCACCTCCTTGAGCAGCTCTGTGCGCACGCGGTCAGCCAGCTTCATGAAGGCTGACGGCTTGAAGTCGGGGTTCACGTGCGCAGCACTGAGGACGCTCTGGGTGAGCGCATCGTATGACGGGTAGAGCTGATGCGGGGGGGAAGGGGAGGGGACAAGGGTGGAAAGAGAAGGGGGGGAGAGGGAGGGGAGAGAGAGGGGAGATAGGGCATGGGTGGGGTGTGGGTGTGATTGCCATTTCCTCCCTCCCCCCAACACAGCACCTCCTTGAGCAGTGCAGCGCGCACGCGATCAGCCAGCTTCATGAAGGCTGATGGCTTGAAGTCGGGGTTCACGTGCGCTGCACTGAGGACGCTCTGCGTGAGCGCATCGTATGACGGGTAGAGCTGATGCGGGGGGGAAGCGGAGGGGAAAAGGGTGGAAAGAGAAGGGGAGGAGAGGGAGGGGAGAGAGAGGGGAGATAGGGGCATGGGTGGGGTGTGGGTGTGAGTGCCATTTCCTCCCCTCCCCCACCACAGCACCTCCTTGAGCAGCGCTGTGCGCACGCGATCAGCCAGCTTCATGAAGGCTGACGGCTTGAAGTCTGGGTTCACGTGCGCTGCACTGAGGACGCTCTGCCTGAGCGCATCGTATGATGGGTAGAGCTGATGCGGGCGAAGGAGCGGGGGAAAGGGTAGAGAAAAGGGAGAGAGGGGGAAGAGACGGGGGGGGGGGAAAGAGTGGAGGGAAGGGGTTCAGGGGGGAATGAGTAATCAACAAAATGCCTGCACGGTCATCATATGAGGGGACCAACATTCGAAAAAGAGGAAGGGGGGGCTGAAGAAGAGAAAGTGACAGAGGAAAAGGCGGATGAGGATGTGCTGAGCAATACGTGCTGAGTGTGTGCATCGTACGACGGGACGAGCTGGCACAGGTGGGTGCAAGTAGGGGGAAATGAGGAAAAGTGGGGGAAATGTGGGGAACGGGGGGAAGTGGGCCGAAATGGGGTATGGTGAGAGTGATGGGGGAACATGGGGGCAACGAGAAATTTGATCGGGGGAATGGGGGTTGTGGGGGGGGGGGGGGGGGGGGGATGGGGACTGTGGGAATGACAAGAATTGGTTATTTCGATCTCCACCTGGCAAGCAAATGGGGGAACGATTCTTGTGAACCCGTGTCTGTGAGTGCATCACACGAAACCCACAATAACAACAAAACCGCATCCCTCCCGACCCACATGCACCTCTCACGAGCGACCTGCACCGCTCACAACAGATTACACAACTCCAAACGGGCCTGCACCGCTCCAAACCTCCCTGCACCGCTCAGTACCGACCTGGACGCGATCAAAGGCGGAGCAGGGGGAGATGATCCCGAGGGAGAGGAAGGCATCGTCGTTCGAGAGCAGCGTGACCGGCGACACGTGGCTGTCTGCCTCCTCCACCTCCTCCAATGATGTCAAGTGCACTCCCCCCTCCCCATCCTCCTCCTCGCTCTCCCTGTCTGCTGCTGTCCCCTGCGCCCCTGCATGCGCTGCTGCTGCTTGCAGCGGGTCGGGCAGGCCGCCGTTGAGAGGCAGCACGAGGGCAGCCCCGGTGGGAATGGCTTCCGACGCCCTCAGGTGGAACCCCGCGTGGGTCAGCTGCGGATTGCGGGGAGAGAGGGGGGGAGGGTGGGGTGGGGATAAAGGGATTGTAAGGGAGAAGGGAAGGCAGACGCCCTCAGGTGGAACCCCGCATGGGTGAGCTGGCTGGGGGTGCGGGGAGAGAAGAGGGATCGGGGAATGGGGATGGGGGGGATAGGAGAGACAGGGCATCAGACGTATGAAGCCAATAGGTGGGATTTCGAAGGGGGCTGCTATGGTAACATCTCAACTACGTAGGGTCCACACCACACCACACCACACCACACCACACCACACCACACCACCCACCCAACCAGCCTGCCATTGCAGCTTGCCAGTGTTCAGACAGCCTCTCACCTGCCACTGTACTTTCTCGTGGTGCCTCTCAGCTCACCTCCCATCGCACGTTCCCTTGGCTCCTCTCATTGGCCCGCGCTACAGCATTCACGAGAGGCACCACCGTCAGCTCAAACCGCCGCTGCTTCTGCTTCTTCTGCCTCTTCCCTCCCCTCCTTCCGCCCTTCTTCCCGCCCTTCTTCCCCCTGCCCCCCTGCTCCTCCCCCTCCGCATCCCCCTCCGGCAGGGGCGGCAGGCGCATGGGCAGAGCCAGCGCCCTCACGGCCGCCACCGTCGCCAGAAACTGCTGCAGCGACGGCAGCGACACAGCACTGCTGTTGCTGCTGCCAGTGGTGGTGCTAATTGTGGCGGTCCAGTTGGCATACTCGTGCTCGTACTGCTGCCTCTGAGCCAAGGCCTGGCAGGATGAACGGCAGGGAGATGCAGAGAGGTCACGAGGGGCAGAAAGAAGCGGGCAGGGCGATGCAGAGAGGGTGAGATGGGCAGGGCGAAGTGGGGAGGGCGAAGCAGAGGGGGCGAGAGGGGTAGGGAGAAGAGAGGGGTGGGTGGATTGGGGGCAGCGACGGGAGTGGGATAACAGGGAGCAAGATCTTGGGAAGTGGGGGAGGTGAGGGGAGCTTAGGGGGAAGGGGAAGGCAAGGTGGAGAGCAAGAAGGAGGGGGAGGGGGAGGGCGGACCTGGTGGAGGAGGGGCAGGTGGGGGAGGTCGTTTCTGAGCATGGGCAGCAGGTGGGCCGTGCGGGACGCCAGCAGCGCCGGCAGCACAGCAGGAGCCACTTGCGCTCCCCAGCTCTCCCCCGCGCCCTCCCCCTCCCCCGCAGCTTCCCCCTCTCCTTCCGCCACTCCCTTCCCCGGCTCGCCCCCCTCCCCCTGCTGCTGTAGCAGCAGCAGGCAGGCGGCGAGGTCGCCTTCGGGGGAAAGGGGGAGGCGTGGGGGGAGAGGGTGGCGGGGGAAGGGCGCGGAGCAGCGCGAGGCGTTGAGCAGCAGGGGCAGGGGCAGGCGCAGCAGCAGCTGCCCCGCGCCTATGGGCGCTGCTGCTAGCAGCTGGGGGAAGAACCTGGGGGGAGAGGAGGGGGAGAGAGGGGAGGGGGGAGAGGAGGAGAAGGGGAAGGGTAAGGGGAATGCGAGGTGAGGAGAGGAATGGAGGGAGTTGGGTTGTTGAGTTGCGAGGCATCCCACAAGCAGCAATTGAGCATGTGAGGCTGGCTGCTGGTCCTTCTAGGCCAAAGCGAGAAACATGTGCTGAAAGGAATAGCATGTGCTGAAAGGAATGACATGTGCTGAAAAGAATAACATGTGCTGAAAAGAATGACATGTGCTGAAAAGAATAACATGTGCTGAAAAGAATGACATGTTCTGAAAAGAATGACATGTGCTGAAAAGAATGACATGTGCTGAAAAGAATAACATGTGCTGAAAAGAATGACATGTGCTGAAAAGAATGACATGTGCTGAAAAGAATGACATGTGCTGAAAAGAATAACATGTGCTGAAAAGAATGACATGTGCTGAAAAGAATGACATGTGCTGAAAAGAATGACATGTGCTGAAAAGAATAACATGTGCTGAAAACAAAAACCTGTGCTGAAAAAAATAGCATGTGCTGAAATGAATAACGTGTGCTAAAGTTTGCACCCGAGACTGCATCGGGGGCTCCATCCAAGACTGTAGCCCTCGCAGCCGCATGCGGCGATTGAAAGACAGCACAGACTGGGGTACTATCTCCTCTCCGCGCAACGACTACAATACAACAATCCGGTTTCCTCCATCCTAAACCCGAAACCTGACCCTAACCATGAACCCTGAACCCTGACTCCTGCATTGTAAGGCCCTGAACTCAGAAACCGAACATCCAAGGCCTTCCACTCACCGGAACTTCTTCGGCTTCTCCTTTTCACCGCCTGCTGCGCCTCCGCTCTTCTCATCCTCTTCCTCATCATCGTCCACCTCCTCTTCCTCCTCTTCTTCCTCTTCCTCATCTTCATCATCGTAATAGTCATCATACGCTTTCTTCTTCACCACTTTTTTCTTCACAGCTTTCTTTTTCTCCTCTTTCTTTTTCTCCTTCTCCTTCACCTCCTTCTCTTCCATCGCACCATCCCCCACCTCCTTAATCCCAGAGTCTTCAGTCGTAGTGTTCGAGCCAGAGTCGTCTGGAATCTCCAATTTATACACCTTCAGCTGCAAGGTTGGGTCGTGCGAGCAGAATAGGAACAAGGTAGCAGGCTTGATGGAACAGTCGAAAAAGGTAGATGCTTGATACACGGCGTACAGACGTTCGTTCACACCATTTTAAGAGCATTTAATCTGACACTAGCGTCTGAAAAAAAAATCAAAGCCATGCGTGGAAAAAAATCTAGAACGAAGAAACGGGAAATTTGAGATGTAAATCGTGAATGCGTCACAAGAAATTTCAGCATTGTAGACTCGTACGCAGAAATCTTGGACATGGCTGGCACAATCCGTGCTAGCATATGCTCTAGTACACACCCTGCATTCTTAATGACGCTCTCATTCTCAATCAAAAGTATGTAGACGGAATTTATCTACACGAAAGACTGCATAACCCATGCCAGCGCATGCCGAAAAAGTATCCGCTCAGGAAGGAATGTTCTATCAGCATTCCACCTCAATGTTCAACACAATAGCCCAAAAAATAAAAATAAAAGTGCAATGTTAGTTTCGATGTGTGAGACTTTTTTGAGTTCGATATAATATTGATGGTCGCATATTCATGTTTGACAATGTAGCATTGATGGTTGCGGATTCATCACCTTTAATTTTAAGGTTCATTGAATGATCGCGACATTTTTCACCTTGAGGTTTTTTCCGGTCAGCGCGTCTCCTTCCGCGCCATTCTCGCGCAGCCAAGTCAGCAGCTCCGCGAACCCGGACTCCTCCAGCGAAGCCTCGATGCTTCCGTCCATCGGTGCAGCGCTCCCCGCGCCTGCGCCGTCCCCTCCGCCCGCGGCAAACTCGTCCGCGTCCGCTCCGCCGAGCTCATGCAGCAGCCAATCAAAGCCCTCCCGCAGGGGATCCATCGCGCCGGCAGTTGCGGCGGACTGCGCCGGCAGAGGGACGCCGCATTGTGCGGCGAAGAGGAGGGGGAGCAGGAGGAGGTGGAGGAGGCGGAAGTAACTAGGTGGCATGTTAACGAGCTTCGGGATGCGAAGTCAGTCTTGTTAGGAACGCAGGTACGGCAACTCCAGCGGAGATTAGTTAGCCGCGACAGCAGTGGACAGCAGCGGCCGTCCGGCGGCGGCTCGCCGGATGGCTGATGGACGCGCCGCGAGAAGAAAGATTGCAATGCAGGTGAAATGCAGGCCTTCGGAGCAGCGCCAAATGATCGCGAAGTGCTCGGCAACGAGATTAAGTACTGCTGATTCCGGAGAGCTCTCTCATAGGGTTACAGGGAGGACGGAGGTTCATGAATATGGGTGAGACCCTCCGTTGCCTTCACGAACACCCGCCACCAGGGCAGATCTCCATGTGCGAAAAGGAAGAATCTGCTCTCCAGCAATGGAGGAAATAAAGGGATAAAGCGGGAAGCATCTGCAAAAAGGGAAATGGGAAAGTGAAGCTAGACGAAGGCGATGAAGGCATCTGTCGGTCAAGATCACTGGACCAGCGAGTGAATGCTTGGGGTGTACCATGGCGGCTCTTGTCTGGTCTCGACTAGGCTGATGGGATGGGAGGGACCTGAATTTGTGTTGGAGGAATTGCTGCAGCAGCACAAAAGCCGAAATGCGGAACCGCATTCAAGGTGGATAACGGGCAACTAAAAAGGCATGAACTTACGTTTCTTTTCAGCATTTGTGCTATAAATTCCGACTAGAACAAGCAAATAAGCTGAAAAAATAGCCTCCCCGTTGTTTTAGTGTATCCTCACGGTGAAACGGGGAAAAACTGTTGCCCTCTCAGAGAGTGATGGCATGGGCGGAGCGGCCATTTGCGCGTCCACAACAGTCTATCCGCGTGAGAAGAAAAGATTTCAAACCTATCCCAAGAGCGGCAGAACGTAACAAAGTAGTCCTCTGTTAAAAAATGTTCAAGCCCGAGGCTGGTAGAAAAAGTACATGTTACTAATCACACTTTCTCTTGTTGCAGCATCTATGGTCACACAAAATATCACCTACTTATCAGGCAGATGCCTAACAAGCCAGGATTGGTGAACTATTTGAGACCAGCTTGCTCTTGAAACTACTTCTTCGTCACCTTTATTTGAGACTCAATGTTGAGAATGCTCACCGACTCTCCTGCCTTCTCGTCGTAATCCGAAAACTCCTTATCGCTCAAATCAATGTCTTCAAACTTGGTACCAGACTCTGCCCCCTCCGCCTGCCAGCCGTCCTTGGGAATAAACTCCACCGGCTCCATTCCTCTGCAGTCCAGGCATACTAAAGGGACAAACTTCCTGTTCTCACAATCTTCTGCCGTAAAGGGTTTACCATGCCCTTCTACCAATGAAATAGAGCCCACACGGCTGCAGAAATTACACTGTAGGTGCGCATATTGGGGAGGCGAGGACGGGATGGGTGAACAGGTTGAGGGGCGAGGAGAGTTGGAAAAGAGGAAAACTGCACAACATGAAGTGTATTGCTAAAACAATTCGGGAATATTAAAAGAAGGTTTCCTAGTCGACTGACAGAGTCTGATTATACTCCTCAGTGCATGACTTGAGGAACGAACAAACAGGAAATATTGTCTGCTACCTTCTGAACGAGATTTGCAGTGCCTCGGCTGCCTTTCATCTCGTACTCCTCCCCTTTTGTCACCGACGACTCTTTCTCACTTACTTCCCCACAGGAACATCTGAAAATCAACAACAACAAAAAAAATGTCAAATAACAGGAATTCAAGGTTTAACTTGCCTTGAAATACCACCCCTGGGAAGGTACACGCCTCTTATTACAACAGCATGAGGTTGGTGTCAGCAGCTTTTCTCTGTCGTTATGCTGTCAATGGGAGACTGTTGGTGGTTCCGGAAATCACGAATCATTGCTTTCCAGTGTCTGTTGTACCTCCGTGACACATCCAAGCCTTGTAAAAGTACCCAAATAACCTAGCCTTCATACGGTGAGCAAAGTTACGAACGAATTCAAAGAGCATGTAATGCGCCCAGATTGAAGCTAACCAGGACTTTGAAGGCTTTCACTTGACCGCCATGGGCGAGATTTTGTTTCTAGCAAGTGCTAAAAGTCCCGTGACTGAGGGAAACTCACCTGAGTTTCATGTAGTATGTGAAATCGTCTGACGCAGGCCGAAGGTTGGTCAGATTCTCTAGCTCGCATCGGATGGAGATAAGGAGTAGCACCATCGCCGCTCGACCGACTAATGCGCTGATTGTAAATGTTTCTCTACAGCTGCTTTCAGAGCCTTCGAGTCTGATGTTCGGAAAAGACGAGTGTAGTCACACTGGCGCAGCGTGAATGGGATGGGATGCTATGGGCCAGCCGCGAGTATCAATGGAAAGAGCGACCTCGAAGGATGATGGTTGGATGGGCCGTAACAGTAAGTAGGACAAAGCACTGGGGAAAGAGAGCAGGAACGATGTATGTCTTCGGTTGATGTGACGGTATGCAATCTATGTGCGTGGGTCGGCCAGCATGCAACGAGCGAAAAACATTTAGTCCTGAGTGACTGACTGCTAAGATTTGATCATTGGACTGCACTGGTAGGGAGAAGGCATTCCCCAAAGCTCTGAATCAGGAAACGCAGTCTCCGTTGTACACAGTATTCGCTGTCACACAAGCACGTATGTTACACTCCCAGAACGTAAGAGTTTGACGGAACCAGTGACCTGAAACGGGTAACCATGGTCGTGGAATTCTGTTTCGCCAGTAGCGACGTTCGCCTGTTTGCACTTGCCTCTCACTGCAGAAGTGGAATCCCTACGTCCCCAGGCTTCGACCTTACTGTTGTTCACTCTAGTGCGGTTCCGTAGGGTTATAAACGTTTGAATGCGGCTTTGTGGAAATATCAGAGTTTGGGTAGGGTTATGAGGTGATCAATAGTGCGTCTTCCTGCCTCCACCTCCCTCCCTCCCAAAACAATCACTTCTGGACCATAGCTCTCACACGTCGCCGTGCTGGTAACTAGACGCGGGCGTCACCTCTGCAAGCATGGCGGCAATTGCGGCAGGGGCGAGATCGCTTGCTGCATCTTCCCTTTCCTCCCAATGCGCATTATCCAATTTGTCGTCTGCGAAGCGATACCGCTCAACCCCTCCGCTTTCTGCCAAATGCGCACTCTCTCCCCGCCGCGCGCTCGTTCCATCTAAACGGCTCCAGTCGCCACGTCAGCCACAAAGCCATGCCTCGTTTTTCGCGAGAAGACTAGTCACGCCCGTAGTATCCTCCTCCGCTGCTGCGGCCGCCTTTCCAGACAGAAACGGCGCGAGCGCTGACAATGAAATCTCTCATTTAGAGAGCGTCCCGCTTCAGATCCCCACCTCCAACAGTGTTGATGCTGCGCCCCCCCGTTTCTCGCAAAGACATCAGAACTCCCCCTTAGACTCCCGCCTTCCGCTTCCGACGCTGCCTTCCGCCCTTCCCGCGATCCTCCTCGTCGCCGCCACGGCGCTTTTTCCGCTCTTCCTCTCCCTCATTACCCCATTCCCCGCACTAGCCTCCGACCCCTCCGCTGCAGCAACCGCCGCAAGTGGAGCCGCGGCTGGCGCGGCGACATCCATAGCCAAGTCGGGTCTTGGGTTGCGCGTCGCGGCGGCGCTGCGCGAGTCGCATTGGCCGGACGCGGCGATCGTGACCTTCATCGCGTCGCTGCCGGTGGTGGAGTTAAGAGGCGCCATACCTGTCGCCTACTGGATGGGCATGGAGCCGTTAGTAGCTTCCTCTCTTGCCGTCCTCGGGTGAGCTACAAAAACAAAATTATAAGGAAGAAATGCATCAATACATACACAATTCATCTCTCAGCACTAGTAAAAACGGGGCAGATTTGGTTGAAGAACATGATCCGTTCTGTCAGCACCATCCTAGCCCCTCCCTCTCCCCCTGTACCCTACCTGTCCTCCCGCCACAGCAACATGGTGCCAGTGCCGTTCCTCCTCACTCTCCTCGGGCCAGCCACCACCACTCTCGCCCGCATCAACCCTTCCCTGAAAGCCCTCCTCAACTCCTTCCTCGAGCACTCCCGGGCCAAGGCGGCCCCCATCGCCGAGTTCCAGTGGCTCGGCCTCGCTCTCTTCGTCGCCGTCCCCCTGCCCGGCACCGGAGCATGGTCGGGGGCGATCGGTGCGTACATTCTCGGGATGCCGTTTTGGGAGGCGCTGACTGCGAACCTGGCTGGTGTGATGCTTGCAGGGGTGCTCGTGAACCTGCTTGTCACACTTCCCCTGCAGCAGGCGCTTGGGTTGGCGGTGCTGCTGCTGGGGTTCTCGTCCGTTTGCTGGTCTCTGCTCAGATGGATCCGGAAGAAAATCAGTTCATAAGCAAGTCAATACTAGGTGCTTCTTGAATTTCCTTTCAGATTTTCTTTGGTCTTCTGAGACGGTGCCAGACTGTGTTGCCTAGGAACTTTCTTCGTCACTTTGCAAGTGTGGTAACAGAGCATGCACATGAAGCCCTGCCTGACCAAATGCTCCAATCATGGAACGACAGCTGGCTCTTAAAAAATCGCATACACTGCTCATCCCGTGTAACCACGGTGTTGCATGTGCTGTGCATCAACCTACATGGGAACTGGTCGGCCATGGAACTACAGGACTGGCAGGAGGGGGAGGAGAGCGAAGATCACTGACATCAGGGTTACACCCCAGCCAGCAGCTGCCCGGACAGTGGATTTCTGCACACACAAGAGCAGAAATAACAGAACTGCTCAGGAGCAATCCACGCGATAAAGAAAAATGACACCATAGAACATAACTGGCTTTGAAAATACGGTAATAAGAAAAACAGGTTAGTCCCCACAAGAGCCACGTACCGGGAGTGCGTCCTTGCTGATGGAGAGAGAGATGTTGTACGAGGAGGGAGCAGCACCAGCAGCAGCACCAGCGGCAGGAGGGGGGATGATGCTGGCATTGACAGTGAGGGACTGGTTAGCAGGAGCACTCATGGAGAGCGCAGGGAAGGCGGTGGGTGTAACCGTCTGCACTGTGTTGCTGCTGAACGGGGTAGTTGCGAGCGACGCCTGAGTCATCAGGGTGATTGGGAACACTAGACCGACGCCGACAGACTGGAGGGCATGGGGGGAAGAAGGGAGGGTGTGCACAGGTAATGAGGGCGTGCGGGTTATTGAATGGAATTGAGGGGATTGGATGAGCGAAAATGACAGGTAATGGAGCAGGCGGAGAGAAGTGCGCGTAAATGTTAGTGCTGCTTTTGCCATTGCAGCCTTTTGCTGCAGACTTTCTCGCATTGAGCCTTCAAGATTCTCAATGCTGATTTTGCACGAGATGCAAGTTATATTGAGCGTCCCTCACCTTGCTGTCGTTGCCTGCGATGAAAGGCATGGCATCAAAGGTTCCAGGGAGAGGAGTGGGTCCCTTGGATGGCACCATGATGTACCCAATGCCCTTCATGGCCCTGGTAGGATAGCAGTCATGCAGCCATTTAACCATCCACACATGCACAAGAGGAAGTATGAGGGGAGCGCGACGTTACAGAAAAGCAGGAACCAGAGAGCACTGTTGACATCACCAAATAAGACGAACTCGCATAAAATTGGAGACCCTTTTAGATACGCACAGGGGATTGATCCGCACACAGACGCAGAGCAGACGACAAGAGGGCTACTATCGGTACTCACAGGGGGTCGACGCGGATGGAGGGGAGGCGCATGGTGGAGCCAGCGGGCTGGCGCACAAACATCTCCGTGTAGAGAAACCCCACCGACGTCCCGCCGCCATTCACCACCGGCGGACTCCCAAACGCCTGCGCCACCGTGACGTCATCCCCCTCGTCCGTGGAGCAGATGTACCCGCGAAGTTTTCCATTGTTCGTCTCAGTGCATTCACTGCCGATCTGGCTGGCCGTGTCGACATCGAGGAGGGAGAAGGTGAGGTAGACGTAGCAGGAGAGGCAGAAGTCGGGGCCTGACGCGAGGTAAGCGGGAATAGCCTGCTCCTCTGTCACTTTGGTGCCGTTGTCTGCACAGTGCGAGGATGGGGGCGAGAGTGGGAAATTTGAACGTTGGGATAACTGTGTGAGGCAGCTGCGATAACTGAGGGAGACGGTTATGGTTTGATTCTCGATGAGAGTTCAGTCACTGACACAATCAAGTGCACACATGGCATAAAAATTGCTGACAACAGTCAATAGCATACATGGCCCACGTAGTTTGGGGACAGATGGGGTCTTCACTTTACACTCACAGATAGGGTAGCAGTTGGAGGGGGCGAAGGTCAAAATGGCGTGCTTCACGTCCGTGAGAGAGGAGAAGTCTGCATGCAGACAGGCAAAAGGCGAAAGCAGGCAAGCGGAACACAAGGAAGAAACAGAATGAAACGGAAAAAACGCGTGGTAGGGGAAGGTTGGAAGAGGGGGTGATGAGGAGAGGGAAGGAGGGTGGTATGGAGAGGGAATTACATTCTAAAAGGCGGCAATGCCACTCATGGATGGAGCCCACACGCTGCCACTTATGAAAACACCATCTTCGTTTCTTGGCTTTTACTTTTACTGTTACTGTCACTCACTGGACGGGAAAGGGTAAGTTTCCACAATGTACTCCTCCTTGGGGGTGACCGCCTTAGCCCAGTCCGGCATATAGGCCTGCAGGGGAAAATTGCATCTGTAGCGGCGATCACGACGACAAACGGGGAAAACGCGTGCACTCCTGAGCTATACATGTAGGTAGAGAAAAAGCAGGGCGTTTGGATGTCAGGACGTAGGTGCATCACTGCGGACACGGCTCGAGAGAACGAGCACGAACACGAACGAACAACGAAAGAGCGACCGACGAACGAAGGAACGAACGAACGAACCTGCACGCGGATCTGGTTACGGTTGGGTCCCACGACGACACGGATGTCGCCTTCGAGGAAGTTGCTGTGGAAAGTCGTGCTCATGGTGCTCTGAGCCCAACACCTGACACGTGTATGCAAATCAGTAATGTGTTGATCGGTGGGAAGAGACTGATACTATCAGATCGTTGAATGATAACAGCGGTTACGATCGTCATGGCACGTCGAATCGCTTGCAAGTAAAATGAAGATTCGAAAAGGTCCCTAAGTGATCTCGGAAGGCCTACCCAGAAGGGATCAGCGCAGAGGCGGCGATGAAACTGGCGAGGAGAGTAATGCGGCCCGACGCTGACGCGAGCTTCGCCATCGAAGCCATAGCTGAAGCCATCGTGGTGCTAGTCACAGTGAGAAATGTGACTGTGACTAGTTGCCAAGATCAGTGGGAGAAAGGAAGCAGATGGTTGCAATTATCTGCAGCCGCGGACCCACTTTTCATAGTGACTCGTACTCGTCAGCCACGATTTTCGACGTGTGCGATGCGACCTATTGATCCAACGCCTCCTGAGCTGACGGCCGTGACGCGGGGACAGGACAGGGGTGTCACTGGCTGGTGCCAGCGGGTGAGCTCTCGGGTTCACACCGAACCTAACGGTTGGGTTTTTTGGTTGGTGTGGTTCGGGTGCCGGACGTCATCGGACACTAAGCGCATCGCACTGTAGCGCACACGATCCAGCAATCTGGAACATCGGTGGTGCCGCGCCGTGCGGAAGATGTTCTGTCCACTCACTCAGCCAGAAATCCCGTCCGGATGCACCGTGATACGAGGAAGCGCATCTACAAGGAGTAGGTGCCATGCCAGAACACACCTTCATGAACTGTAACGTGTGTTCCAGAGCAAAGCCGCGGTTTCCCCCTTCCCCAATGTACAGAGCTCACCCCAACAGGCTGAGGTTGCCGCCCAGATCCTTACGTTCCCCATTACTAAGTCATGCGGTATCTCGAAGTGCTGAGAATTTACACACCGCTTTATAGACCTAGGGGACTGATAATCCGCAGTTTGGATAAGCTCTCCTGAGGTTTGCCCTGCATGAGCATATGCTCAGCCGATACGCTACAAGATAGAAACTGGACAGTGCAAACATCACCTCCACCAGATCTAGCACACGCCTGCCTGTCCTTTATGCATGCTTCCTGGGGGACACAACTAACATGTAACTTTCAACCTTTTGAAGACTTGGTGCATGGATCTAGAAGAGCTCTGCGTATACAATTTAGTACCACACTCAGAATAATGTCATCCTGCATGAACGTGTGGTTGGATCACGGGACTACAGGACAGGCAGCAGGACGAGCAGTGCAAACGTCACCATCATCCAGGATGCCTTTGGTCTCTGCAAAAGGAAAGCAAAAAACGCACATAAAATACACGCTTAGCAACAAACCATCAATATCCACCTGGCTTTCTGTGAGCTTCTTCAAGGTCAAGAACACAAAACACTTACCGAAATCGCATTCTTGCTGATGGAGAACGTGATGTTGTATGGGGTGGCAGCAGCAGGGGTAGCAGCTGGCGGCACGATGGAGGCATTGAGAGTGAGCGACTGGTTGGCAGGAGCACTCATGGAGAGCGCAGGGAAAGCTGTGGGCGTGGCTGTTTGCTGTGTGTTGCTGCTAAACGGGGTAGTTGCGAGAGATGCCTGAGTGATCAGGGTGATTGGGAACACTAGACCAATGCCTACAGCCTGGTGGGTGTGGATGAGGAGGGAAGGACAAAGGGGGGTCGCAAGATTTTGAGTGGAGTTGAGAAAGCTTGATGAGAAAAAAGAGGAAATATGGTAATATATAAGGGGCCAAAAAAAAGATGTTGTCACATACGGTTTTGTGTGGAATTGAGTGGTTGTGGAGAGAAGTGATAATATGTGAAGTGAAGTGCAAAAGAGGCACAGAAGATTCAGTGCTGCTTTAGCAATTCCTGGCTTCTCTGGTCCCTCACCTTGCTGCCGTTGCCTGCAATGAAGGGCATGGAGTCAAAAGTCCCAGGGAGAGGAGTGGGTCCCTTGGAAGGCACCATGATGTACCCGATTCCCTTCATGGCCCTGGTGGGATGCATACATGGCACGAATGCAACCATACACACATGTACAGATGCAGCACATGTACACACGTGCACACACACGCAAGGAAACGCAGAGAGAAACGCTGATCCATGCAATCCCAACCAATACCAAGCGCGCAAAACACTGCCAGAGGACCAGAGGGTTCTACTTAAGCCAACAGAAACGAGAAAAATGCAGACTGCAGAATACGAAAGCACCATCGGTACTCACAGGGGATCCACGCGGATGGAGGGGAGGCGCATGGTGGAGCCAGCGGGCTGGCGCACAAACATCTCCGTGTAGAGAAACCCCACCGACGTCCCGCCGCCATTCACCACCGGCGGACTCCCAAACGCCTGCGCCACCGTGACGTCATCCACCTCGTCCGTGGAGCAGATGTAACCGCGCAGCTTCCCATTATCCGTTTCAGTGCACTCGCTGCCGATCTGGCTGGCCGTGTCGACATCGAGGAAGGAGAAGGTGAGGTAGACGTAGCAGGAGAGGCAGATGTCCGTGCCTGAGTCGAGGTATGCGGGAACGGCTTGTTCAACGGCCACGTTGGTGGTGTTGTCTGCAGAGGAAGGAGGCGGGCGAGAGAGGGTGTAGGAATTGGAAGTTAGGGTGTTGCTTGAGAGGTGAGGGCAAAAAGTGCGAGATGGAGGTGTGACTTGATTTTTGCTGGGATTTCAGTAACGTTGACATTAGTTAACTCGATACTGTGAGAATAAGCGAACAGGAATGAATGAACTAGCAGTGAAATGAGTACAAGTAGGAAACCCTAGAATTGTGTACCCCCTATAGGCTAACCCACTGTAGCCTACACAAGCAGAACATATCTAATGTTTGACACACCCCCATAGGCAAAGTGGGGGAGAACAAGGGGTCACAAGACCAGTCAAGCAAAGCAAAGCAAGCTCAGGGTGGATCACAAAGTCACCACACAGTCCGAGCACAAGAGCAGGGCCAGAGGCCAGTTCACATGCAGGAGTACAGACATATATATAAAACTAGACAAGCAAGAGCAGGTATATATATATGTCACAGTACAAGTGAAGTCAAGAGGAGAGCAAGTGAGGCAAGACAGGCACAAGACCCAGCTGGGTGCAAAAGCGCTGATGGTCACAAGGCGCGAGTGCCTTGGTGAACACATCAGCAGTGTTGGCCTCAGAGGCCACGTACGCAAGTCGCAACTGACCACGCTGCTGCAGCTCACGAGCAAGGAAGTAGCGGAGAGCAATGTGCTTCGTTCTGTGCTCCAAGCGCTGCTCTCGACACAAGGCCAGCATGGCCTTGTTGTCTACGTACAGCACTGGAGGAGAACGAGGCGGCTCTCCAAGGTCAGTCAGCAGGTAGGTGAGCCAGCGAAGCTCCTGTGCAGCCATGGCCCCGGCGTAGATCTCAGCCTCACAACTGGAGCCGAGAACCGAAGACGAGCGAGTAGACCGCCACGAGACAGAGCCGGAACCAAGGCTGAAGGTGTAACCCTGTGACGACCGCTGCGTAGCCTGGTCGTCAGCCCAAGAAGCGTCCGCGTGGCCGGTAAGGACCACTGGACTCCGCCCTCCAAGCACAAGCCCCATGCCCGACGTACTGCACAGGTAGCGCAATACCCTCTTCGCTGCAGCCATGTGCTCTGGTCTGTGTCTCCCAGGAGCAACATAGCGTGCAAGAATGCTCAGAGGGTATGCAAGGTCAGGTCGTGTGCAGGTCATCAGGTACATGAGGCAGCCAACAAGCTCTGCATACGGACCACTCGACTCTACGGACTCATCCGAAGGCAGAGCTGAGAGTGAGTGGCGAGTAGGCAGAGGAGTGGCCTGAGGCGAGGAGTACGTGAAGCCGAAGCGCTGAAGGACCTGCTGCACCATGTGTGACTGAGTCAAGGTAATGGTGCGGCGTGCTCTGTCCCGAGTGATCTGCAAGCCAAGGTAGCTGCGCAGTTCACCCAGGTCTGTGCACGTGTGTCTCTTCAGCAGCTCGGACTTCACGTAGGCGAGTCCAGCAGTGTCCGCTGTGGCAAAGACCAAGTCGTCGACGTACACGAGGATGTAGAACGGCGGCAGTGAAGTGTCGGTGCGCAGAAACAGCGACGGGTCAGCAGTAGAAGGAGCAAACCCAAGTGCCGCCAGCGTAGTCCTCAGTGTGTCGTGCCACTCACGCGGTGCCTGGCGGAGACCGTAGACTGGCCGTCGGAGGCTCCACTGGGTGCCAGGAGGGAAAGTCCCAGTGAAGCCAGGTGGACGGCGCAGCCAGATCTCCTCGTGCAGGCTACCCTGCAGGAACGCAGTGCTGAAGTCGAGAGAGTGAAGCTCGTAGTCGCGCTGAGCGGCTATGTGCAGCAGCACCCGAAGAGTGGTCATCTTCGGGGTGGGAGAGAAGGTCTGAAAGTAGTCAACTCCCTGCCGCTGACTGAAGCCACGAGCAACGTACCGCGCCTTGAAGACAGGTGGAGAGCCCGGCGGCCGCTTCACCCGGAAGATCCACATGCCACTGACGATGTTCGCCCCAGGAGGGGGAACTGCGTCAACGTAGGTGCCTGTGGACTTCCAGGAAGCCATCTCTGCATCCATAGCTGCCTGCCACTGAGAGGAGTAGGGACCCTCTACGGCCTCCGCGTAAGAACGCGGAGTCGGGATGTCTAGTGCATCCGGGTCTCCCTCAGGGGCAAGCAGTACAGACGCGAGATGAGGTGAAGCAGCCGCTAGACACAGTAACTCCTCCTGTCTGTCCTCTAGGACGTCCGTGCCAAGAGCACACTCACCCCCGACGGACGGAGGACAGACAGACGCAGACTCAGCAACAAGACCAGCAGCGTAGTCGAGACGACAGCGAGCAGCAAAGTCAACGAGCTCAGCGACTAGAGCAGACGCAGCAGTGGACTCAAAAGAGGGGTCAGTGACGACAGTAGCAAGCAGACGCGTGACAGTAGGACTGGCAGCGCGAAGAGAGTCCGACTCAGGGTCGGCAAGCGCAGGAAGAGAGGACTCAGGAGGAGAAGGCAAAGGGGCACGCAGAGGAGCAGTGGACGGACGCAGAGACATCCGGTGCGTGCCAGGGACAGGAGGAGGACGCTGACGCGAACCGCGACCACTAGCGCGAGTAGCACGAACAGGCGACGCGGGACGAGACGCAGGCTCACGACGCTCAGCAAGACCTCCAGTAGGACCAGTGTAAGGAGAGGGAGCAGGCAGAGGAGAGGAAGGCTCCAACAGTGACTGCGACTGGACAGGCTGTGGACACTCTACCGAAGGAGAAAGACCAAGAACCTGCTGTAGGAGCGGAACGAAGTACGGCCGAGGCCGCGTGGCAGCTCCAGACTCAGCAGGGACAGCACCAGCACCCTCAGCGACAGCACCAGCGCCACCAACACCTCCAGCGGCAGGACCTCCAGCAGCACCAGCAGCAGAACCACCGCCAGGACAGACAGCAGTAGTCTCAGCACCAACACCCTCAGCAGCTCCAGCTCCAGTAGAACCCGTAGGCCCAGCAGCTCCGGGACCGGCAGCACCAGCACCCTCGACGGTCGACGAAGCTCCAGCTCCAGCAGCACTCCTCCAGCGGCGAGCAAACCACTCACGCAGCTCCTGGGGAGAGAGGGGCTCCCGGCGAGACGCAGCAGCAGGAGAAACCCCAGGCTCAGCAGCTCCAGACTCAGCACCCCCAGGCACAGCCGCTCCAGACTCAGCACCTCCAGGCTCAGCAGCTCCAGACTCAGCACCCCCAGACTCAGTAGCTCCAGCTCCAGTAGGACCCGCAGGCCCAGCAGCTCCGGGACCGGCAGCACCCTCAGCAGGCGAAGAAGCTCCAGCTCCAGCAGCACGCCTCCAGCGGCGAGCAAACCACTCGCGCAGCTCCTGTGGAGAGAGCGGCTCCCGCCGAGACGGAAGAACCGGAGAGCCCCCAGGTCCAGCAGGCGCAGGCTCTGCACCTCCAGGCCCAGCACCCCCAGGCTCAGCAGCTTCTGACGTAGTACCCTCCGGCTCAGCACCCCCCGGCTCAGCACCCCCAGACTCAGCACCCCCCGGCCTCGCACCCCCAGGCTCAGCACCCCCAGGCTCAGCACCCCCAGCAGCAGCACCCCCAGGCTCAGCACCCACAGCAGGACCAGACTCAGCAGCAACCTCGACTGGCTCGACCGTGTCTACCTGGGACACACCTGAAGGGGCAGGAACCTGAGGGGGGAGGGGGTCTACCGGGGGGGGAACTGGTACCAGGAAGTCCGGTGGGGGGGGAAGGGAAGGAGTACGGTAGGGGAAGAGGCGGTAGAAGGGGACTGACTCGTCGAACGTGACGTCCTGGGAGGACAGAACACGACGAGAGGAGGGGTGGTAGAACTGCCACCCTGGAGCGTCAGGGGGGAAGCCAAGGAAGACACAGGGAGCAGCACGGGGGGACAGCTTGTCCGCAGACAAGTCGCGGACAAACGCCCGAGATCCCCAGACACGGAACGCAGACGCATCGCCAACCTTCCCCGTCCACAGTAACACTGGGGACATCGCGGGCCGAGAGACCCTGGGGTGAAGGTTGAGCTGATGCGCCGCGTACCGAACCGCAAACGGCCACAGAAAATGGGGGGCAGCCGCATGCATCATGGACGTACGAGCGACATCCATGACCATGCCAATGCGGCGCTCAGCAATCCCATTTTGCTGTGGAGAGTCCGGAAGCGTAAAGGTCTGGCGGATCCCCTGTGCACGACAGTAGTCTCGCAGAAGGCGAGAGGAGAACTCCCCACCTCGGTCAGAGTGCAGACGCAGAACAGGAAAGTCCGAGCCGAAGCTCCTCCTGAGCTGGAGACGAGCCTCGCGGATCCAGTCGATCAGCACCTCAGTGACAGCACCCTTGCTGCGCAAGGGGAAGACTGAGGTGTAACGCGAGTAGTCGTCAACCACCAACAGGAAGTAGCGCTCGTGACCCTGCCCACGGACGGGGGCCGGGCCCCACACGTCCATGTGAAGCGTCTGCAGAGGAGCCTCTGTCGGGGGAAACTGGGAGGAGTGAGGAGCAGCCCTGAGGCGCCCCTCGACACAGGGGACACAGGAAGGTCCTGGTCCCGAAGGAAGGGGAGGGAGAGACTGGGGAAGACCAGAGACAAGGACACGGGAAGCCATGCCCCGAAGACGGGGCAAGGAGGGGTGGCCTAGACGGTGGTGCCACAGAAGAGTCTCGTGAGACAGGAGGCGACACGAACAGGGGGCAGACTCAGGACCAGACCTGGACGCAGCAGCAAACACCTGACCCGACGCTGCTACCTGACCGGACGCGGGGACAGGAGGAGACTCAGTGGTCAGGGTGTAGAGGCTCGACCCCGGCCGACGCGAGAACGTGGCCAGGTGCCGGCCTGTGCGTGCGTCCGTGCAGTGGGTCACCCGCTGACTCGCAGGAGTGAACTGGTGAACCCCCGCATCCTGTAGGTCTGCACCACTCACCAAGTTCGTCGAGAACGAGGGGAGGTACAGGCCAGACAGGGTGCCCGAGGGGGCAGCCGGACACGGGAGGACAGTGGAGAAGTGAGCGAGGACAGGACCCCCAGAGGGGTCAGCCAGGGAGACTGCAACCGGCCGACCAAGCGGCGTGAGTGTGGTGCGGTCCCGAAAGAAGGAGCGAGAAGCCCCAGAGTCAAGTGTAAAGGTGAGGGAGGCCGAAGCCGACGCGGTACCTGAGAGCGCAGCCTCACCCGCACCTGAGGAAGCAGACTCACTAGCACCTAGAGCAGCAGCCGCACCTGTACCTGGAGCAGGAGACTCACTAGCACCCAGAGCAGCAGCCACACCAGTAGCTAGAGCAGCAGGTCCTATACCTGGGTCAGGCGGGACGCACAGGTGACCGGCACGGTCAGCACTAGTAGGCAATGCATACATGGCAGTGAGAATAGCATCATAGTCAAGAGCATATATATCTACCCTCTGCCTAAGCAACTCCACCCAGTCGGGAAGCTCAGCCTCGTCGCCAAACACGGTACGCCAGGCGTCGCTCAGACGGGCGAAGCAGCTGGACGGTGTATGACTACGTGTCCCACAAGGCTGACCAGTCCGAGTACCAGTGCGAATCACGTAAGAGCAGCGAACAGCACTGAGAGACCCTCCACTCTGAGCGTACCACTCACGAAGCTGGCGAGGCGTGAGAGACACGCGAGAGGGTCGCGGGAGCTGCATCTGGCCGCCACCACGAGTAGAAGCAGCAGGAGTGGAAGTAGGAGTAGCGTCGCCACCCCTACAGCCCCAACCAGCGTACCACTCACGCAGCTGCTGGGGCGTGAGGGACTCACGCCGGCGTCGCTGGGGCTGCATTTGGCTCCGCAAGTAGAAGCAGGAGCAGGTTTAGCAGCAGGGAGGCAGGCAGCCAGGCAAGCCAAAAGGCAGGCAGGCAGGCAAGCAGGCGACGCGCAGCGTGCTAGCAGGGCAAGAGCTCACCAGTGGTGGGAAGAGTAGGCTCGGCGACTCAGCGGCTCGGCAGCTCGGCGGCTCGGCGGCTCGGGCGACTCGGGCGGCTCGGCGGCAAGGCGGCTCGGCAGCAACTGCAGCTCAGCAGCTCGGTGACTCGGCGGCTCGGCGGCAGGGCGGCTCGGCAGCAACTGCAGCTCAGCAGCTCAGCGACCCGGCGGCTCGGCGGCAGGGTGGCTCGGCTGCTGGGCGGCTCGGGTGCAGGGCGGCTCGGCGGTGGGGCGGCTCGGCTGCTGCAGGTGAGCGGCTCGGCTGCTGCAGTGGGAGATGAAGGAGGAGGAGAAGCAGGGGAGGCCACACACCTGCCACCCCTCTGCTGGCCTCTCCCGTCGCCTGTCGAGGCGACCTGAGGGGGCCGCTTGCGGCCCCCTCAGGAGCTGCGACGGGTGACGGGAAAAGGGGGGGGGGTGGGTGGTGGGGGGGGCCGGTAGGTGCAGCGGCGGGGCCAGCAGGTGCAGTTGCGGGGCCGGTAGAAGGGGACGGCAGGAGCCGTCAGGAGGGGACGGCGGGGCCGTCACGAAGGGACGGCGGGGCCGTCAGGAGGTGACCGGGCCGCGACGGGGGCAGGCGGCGGGGCCGCGTAAGGGCCTGGGCGGGGCCGCGACAGAGCCGTCGGCGGGGCCGCGTGAAAGCCGGGGCGGGGCCGCGTAGAAGCCGGGGCGGGGCCGCGCGAGAGCAGGCGGCGGGGCCGCGAAGGAGCCGGGGCGGGGCCGCGTGAGAGCAGGCGGCGGAGCCGCGTAAGGGCCTGGGCGGGGCCGCGACAAAGCCGTCGGCGGGGCCGCGTGAAAGCCGGGGCGGGGCCGCGTAGAAGCCGGGGCGGGGCCGCGCGAGAGCAGGCGGCGGGGCCGCGAAGGAGCCGGGGCGGGGCCGCGTGAGAGCAGGCGGCGGAGCCGCGTAAGGGCCTGGGCGGGGCCGCGACAAAGCCGTCGGCGGGGCCGCGTGAAAGCCGGGGCGGGGCCGCGTAGAAGCCGGGGCGGGGCCGCGCGAGAGCAGGCGGCGGGGCCGCGAAGGAGCCGGGGCGGGGCCGCGTGAGAGCAGGCGGCGGAGCCGCGTAAGGGCCTGGGCGGGGCCGCGACAAAGCCGTCGGCGGGGCCGCGTGAAAGCCGGGGCGGGGCCGCGTAGAAGCCGGGGCGGGGCCGCGCGAGAGCAGGCGGCGGGGCCGCGAAGGAGCCGGGGCGGGGCCGCGTGAGAGCAGGCGGCGGGGCCGCGACAGAGAGGGCGGCGGGGCCGCGTCAGTGAAGGCGGCGGGGCCGCAGGGGAAATGGCGACCCGAGGGGTCGCTAAAAAAAAGATCGCGCCTCGGGGGGCGCTTCGGTGGGCCCAAGAAAAACCGGTCCGTAGAAGGACCCGCTCTGATACCATGTGAGAATAAGCGAACAGGAATGAATGAACTAGCAGTGAAATGAGTACAAGTAGGAAACCCTAGAATTGTGTACCCCCTATAGGCTAACCCACTGTAGCCTACACAAGCAGAACATATCTAATGTTTGACAGATACTACCTACATGGCATAAGTATTGCTGACAACATTCAAGTGCATGTATAAAACGTGGGGCCAACGTGTGGCGAAAAAAACAACGCCCCGTGGAAGGGCTTCACATCCACAACAGATGGGACAGCAGGAGAAAGGGCTGAGGGTCTTGATGACGACGTGCTCAAGTTTCCCGTAGTTGCCTCATCCTTCCTACCTTTGGTTGGGTTACAAAGTCCAACCAAGCTTCCTACCTTTGGTTTCGTCACTAAGTCCAACCAACCTTCCTACCTAAGAAACCTGTGGACCCTGGGTTTTAAGAGAAGATCGGTTCTGAGGAGGCATGAGGTGTTCACTTCACACTCACAGATGGGGTAGCAGTTGGAAGGGGCGAAGGTCATAATGAGGTGCTTCACGTCCGTGAGGGAGGAGAAGTCTGCATGCAGACAGGCGGAATCAGGCACGCGGAAAACAAGGTAGGATGAAGAATAAGTTGAGGAATAGACGGGCTGAAATAATTGCTGTCTGGTAGGGGAAGGCAGGAAGAGGGGGTGATGGAGAGAGGGGAGCAGGTGAAATCAAGGGAGTATTTTCCAGGGTGCTGTGCGGGGGATTGCGACAGGCGGCAATGCTGGCTCTCACTGGAGCCCATATTCTAAGCATTCTTGAAAGTGATCCTTTTCTCCCTTTTTATTCTTTTCTTTTCTTTGCTTGTCTGCGTGATTTTCCTTTTCGGCTTTCTTTCTGTTACTCACTAGACGGAAAAGGGTACGTTTCCACGAGATACTCCTTCTTGGGTGTGACCGACTTAGCCCAGCCCGGCAAGTCCGCCTGCACCGGAAAATTTGCAAACAGAAATAGCGATCGGAACAGCCAAAAGGGTAAACCGCGTGGACGGGTGAACTAATACACGTAGATAGGCTTAAGCAGGACGATTGGACGTAGGCACATTGTGACGAGGGCTCGAGGATGGCAATGCAGCACGTTCGTTCGTACGTACGTACGACGAACACGAACGAGCGAACGATCGATCGAAAACGAAGACGAACGAAAGAGCGAGCGAACGAACGAACCTGCACGCGGATCTGGTTACGGTTGGGACCCACAACGATGCGCACGTCGCCTTCGAAGAAGTCGCTGTGGACAGTCGTGCTCATGGTGCTCTGAGCCCAGCACCTGAAACACAAAATAAGGGAATGTAATTAAATCTTTACTAATTGATCAGTCGGGAAGAGCTGATGCTGGTGGCTGAAACGAACAACTGCGGTCGGATCTGATCCGTCATGGCGCATCGCGGTTCTTGCGAACATAGGAGAAAGCGCGGCGTTGAAAGGTTCTCTCAGCGTCTGAAAGCCTACCCAGAAGGCATTAGTATAAAGGCGGCGATGAAGCTGGCGATGAGAGTAATCCGGCTCGACGCCAAGACGAGGTTCACCTTAGACGCCATGGTTAGGAGCGGTGCTAGTAGTCACAGTCACCTTAGCCTACTAGGAAAAGAGAGGAAAACAGATTGTTGCGTCCATGAGCTCCTGCGGACCCACTTTAATACACAGCCACAATTATCGATGTGTGCGATCCGTAGTTCCAGCTGCTGAACTGGCTGAATCGACACCGCATCGCGGTATCGTGTCGCTTGCTGGTGTCGTGCGTCGTCTGGATTCGGGAACCAACTATAATTGTGTTCCTGATGAGCTTGGACAACCGAGCGTCTATTGGTGTGTTTCTCATGCTGAACGCCTAATCACCCCGATAATCTCAACCGTGAAGATTTTTATCAAATCACGAAATGGACACCGGTTGCGTCTGCACGCGAACTTCTGTATCGTATGGCTAGTCTCATTGCAGTCGCACTCCACAAGCAAGTGAATCAAGGGGACGGAATCAGGGCTGACGATTCAAGGGCAAATTCCCTTAATGCCCTGAACATTAAGGGCTGGGTTTGGCCCAGGTTCCGAAGTTTAAGGGCTGGCTTTGAGGGCAGCTCTTTCCCGCAAAGTGCTGGTTGTGGGCCTAACCCGGATTTCAAGTGCAGATCCCGTGGCTAGCCCTTATCGTCCCATACTAATACTTCCCTCCCTCCCATTCGCTCACCAGTCCCCCAACCTCCTCCCAGCCACTCCCCTACTTCCTTTTCCCATCCCCGTCAAATCCATCGACATGTTTCGTACCTCAGACTATTGCCTAGCTGGCTCTTAGTAGTTGCCTAGGATAGGACCCGAAGAGATGTAGGTTTTCCTTAGCAAAAGTGCAGAAAAATTGGTAGCCCTGATTGGAAGTGCCAGGTTGGCTCTCAGCCCGTAAATTTCAGGGCAACTTTTGGGGCACCTCAGCCTCTCAAGTTCTGGCTCCAAACCAATCGACAGCCCTGTACACCCTGTTTCTCGACCCTCTCACCTTGCGCGATTCGCTGCTACAGTGCGGTCAGGTGCCATAAACCGTATGGCTGAAACCTGCGGGCAAAGCCGCACCAGCTGACGGAGTGGTACTGGGGGCAAAATTTTTCTTTATCGCTGTATACCCTTTCAACCGCTTTGAAACGCTTGGTTAATGTTCTTTACCATGCAGCATCCTAGCTAACCGCTTTCTTGTGAATGTGCTTGTACCGTCGGTGATAAGACCATTTCAAACGTGGTGACGTTCTACAACCTGTGCATGTTCTGCAACCAGATGCTCTGCTAGCGCGAAACAGGGTGTACATCCCAAATTGCATTGGCTTGTGTTCGAGCAAAGTTCAAGCACGAATTGTTTTTTTTGCAGTGCGGGTGTTCCTCCGAACATAGGAACAAGATCGCACTGTAGTGCCCACCAACCAGCGGAAGTGCTGAGCGGTGGTGGTGCCGCGATGTGCGGGAGATGTTCTGCGTTTGCATGTTGCTGAAAATTCCGTCTAGGGGGGTGATGGGTGTGGGTGGGAGGTTGGGAAGGAGGGTAGAAATTGATGGATTTAATCTACCACATGATACTGTTCTAAACCGCCTTACCACGTGTTGCCACCCACAAGGATTGGGTTGGGTTGGCCCGACCTGGTCGGCTAGACCCAACCCGACCAGAACTTCGGAAACGCGACTCGGGAAATTGAGAACTTTCCCGAGGCTTTCTGTGCATCCTCGACGTAATGGGAACGCAAGTGCCGCGCGAGGGGGAGTTGGACGGAGCAATTCGTGGCGATCTCCACCATGTCGCCCACTTTGGGTTACTCAAACTGCATTCGCAAGCCATCGCAATGACCGCCCATGCCCAGGCAATGAATCCCCCCCGCTCCGGAGTGTTGCAAAGGACCAGCGCTGTCCTGATAACCACACCCCACCCCATAGAAGCATTGGTAGGGAGGGAAAGACACTCGCCATCAATGCGAGATTAAGGCGACATTTGCGCGAGAACAACAGAGTTCGCAGGCTGCGGTAACCTGCTCCAGCTCGGTTGGGTTGGGTCTGGTTGGCCTGGTTCGGCCGACCTGGTCGACCCAGGTCGGGCAGACCCAACCGGGTCTGGTTGGCTCGACCTGATCGGCTAGACCCGCGATGCAGCCTTCCTAGAATGATGAGTCGGGGGAAGGTCGACCCAATCCTTGTGGGTCGCAACACGTCGTTATTCTGTCCTAGGTTATCGAGCTGGAATGTTTATGCTGGAAGGTTCATGAATAACGGATGTGCCAAAACAAATTCTGCGTGGGCCCCATGGAACTGCATGTCCCAATGCCCGATTTCCTTCAGGTACACATGGTTCAGGTTATAATATATACACAAACTTGAACATAACACCCCAAACATACAGTATGTTGCACTACCAGGGTCAGCGGATTGTACTGACTCTGAAATAAGCCTACCTGAAACCACCAGCAAATAGATTCCACAGTCCCCAAGCCCAAACTCTACCATCACCAAAGCTCGTTACAACTGTACGTGCGTCGCACCGTCTAGCTCCTCCCGTTTCGTTTTAAGAACCGGGAACGGTGGCAACAGCCCTCTACCAGAACACGGCCTCAACAAAACGTCCTCCGCCTCACATGCTGTTGCTGCAGTCTCATCTTCCTCTGCCACACTCCGAAGCCCACTTTTGCACCCTCGCACACAATCACGGACACCACTACAGTCACACTCACACCCTCCCCCTCGGCTTCTGTGCACTGACTGGCCGGCAGGTACATGCGGAGGAGCAACATACCCTGGCGCCACCCATTTCAATCCACTAACAGAGGAAGAGGACAAGGACGAGGAGGATGATGCAACATGGGGCGAATTCACCCAGGAAGAGAAAGCAGCAGGTGCTGAGTGGTTCAGAGCGGTTCTAGGAGCAGCAGCGGGGGAAGCGGAGGAGTTGGGAGCGGTGAAGCGGTTTGAGGGGGGGAACTTCGTTTTTGGGCAGAGGAAGTCGAAGTGGATCTTGTAGCCCGCCACAAAGAAGCGCACCGCATTCAACACTCCCTTGGCACCCCATGCCGCCACCAGCGTCTTGAAATAAAAATGCGCTAATGCTGCATGGGAGGGAGACGGGAAAAGGGAGAGTGAGGGAGGGGGGGATAAGGGGAGGGGTTGAGAAAGGGGGGGGGAGGGGTTGAGAAAGGGGAGCGAGTGATCATGAATGCTTTAGTGCCCTATACTGCCACCATAGGACAAAGGAGCAGGAAAGGAGCAGGAAGTGGGAAGTGGGGAACCGGAAGGAAGATGCCGGGAGTGTGGAGTGGGAGTGGGGTATGGGGAGTGGGGTCTGGACTGGCAGGGAGTGTGCTGTACCGAGAGGAGAAGGGTTGGGGGGACGTTCCATTTGTTAAAAGAGTAAATGACGTCTCGAATCTCAGCATCGAGGGGAGAAACGTTGGGGGACAACCCATCAGCAACACAAGGTCAACAGGAAGGGATTGAACACAAGCATGGACGGGATGCAAACAAAGGGGCGATGAACGGATACAGGGGAGGTGATGCACCAATGCAGGGCAGGAAGAGGGCGAAGAAGCCGATGGTCTACTTTAGAGAGCCTAAAAAACCCATGGATGCAGGAAAGCGGGCAGCAATGAAGGGAACGCACCGATGCAGGGCAGGAAGAGGGCGAAGAAGCCGATGGTTAGGAAGGCTGCCATGTAGGAGAAAGCCTGCGCTGCGTAGATCAACCCGTCGTACACAAACACCTGTTGGTGGTGGGAGGCGGGGGGGAAGGTGAGGAGGTGAGGGGGACAAGGGAGGGAAGCCGATCGTTAGGAAGGCGGCCATATAGGAGAAGGCCTGCGCTATGTTTATCAACCCGTCGTACACAAACACATGTTGGTGGTGGGGGAGAGTTGGGGGATGGAGGGGGCGCCAAGTAGGGGGGGCAAAGGATCAGGGCACTAGGAAGCTGATGGTGAGGAAGGCTGCCATGTAGGAGAAGGCCTGCGCTACGTTTATCAACTCGTCGTACACAAACACATGTTGTTGGTGGGAGAGAGTTGGGGGATGGAGGGGGCGCCAAGTAGGGGGGGCAAGGGATCGGGGCACTAGGAAGCTGATGGTGAGGAAGGCTGCCATGTAGGAGAAGGCCTGCGCTGCGTAGATCCACCTGTCGTACACAAACACCTGTTGGTTTTTGGAAGGAGGTGAAGGAGGGCGAAGGGGGGCCGCCAAGGGAGCCAGCAGACACCCCAAACTTGTCCCCGCAACCCCAACCCAGACACCTTACGGACAAGGCACTTAGGGCTCAAAGAGGGGAAACAGCACAAGCAAGCACCTTACAATGCAGTTGAGCGGCTGAATGAGAGCCCGGTACAGCCACGCGCCTCTGAGCTCCTGCTTCGTCCCCTTTGTCAAACGTGAACAGTGCCATCAGCTGCTCGCGCCACCCCAAGTATACCAGAGCCATCGCCCCACCCACCTTACCAGGCCGTGAGCGGCTCAAATCAAAACGGGGGTGGGGGGAGGGGAAATACATGCAGGGAAGGCGGCTTACAATGGAGTTGAGCGGCTGGATGAGAGCCAGGTACAGCCACGCGCCCCTCAATTCCTTCTTCGTCCCTTCATCAAACGTGAAGAGACCCATGAGCTGCTCCCGCCACCCCAGGTACACCAGAGCTATCGCCACGCCCGCCACCACCCCCATGTTCAGCACCCTCCAGCAGGCTTTTCTTAGGTCCCACAGCCCAACTCACCCACCTTACCCTGGCAGTGAGAGGCAGTAAGGGGGAGCCTTACAATGGAATTGAGCGGCTGGATGAGAGCCAGGTACAGCCACGCGCCTCTCAATTCCTTCTTCGTCCCCTCATCGAACGTGAAGAGCGCCATCAGCTGCTCGCGCCACCCCAGGTACACCAGAGCTATCGCCACGCCCGCCACCGCGCCCATATTCAGCACCCTCCAGCACGCCTCTCTCAGGTCCCTTAAGTGGATCGCGTGCTCTGCGGGCGTGCGGCTCTTAGCTAAGTGCCCCGCGACGCTGCTGGCGACGATGGTGCCGGCGGTGGCGAAGCCGTCTGCGATGTAGATGTTGATCATCCACAGCTGCATGAGCACCTGGTGGGCTGCCACCGCATGCATTCCAAGAGAGGTTGCGCAGGCCAGGACCAGGAAAAACGATGCCTGTCAGCGTTGATGTTGCCAGGGGGGGTGACAAGGGGGAATGGGGAAGAAGGAGCAGTATGAGCAATGTAGATGTTGATCATCCACAGCTGCATGAGCACCAAGGTCGTCACCGTGTGCATTCCGAGAGATGTGGCACAGGCGAGAGATGTGGCACAGGCGAGGACTAGGAAGAAGGACGCCTGGAGTTGAATTGAAGGTGCAAGGGAAGGGGAGGTGAGAGGGGAGGTGAGAGGGGAGGTGCATCACTATTTGAGCGATGCAGATGTGGATCATCCAGTGCTGCATGAGCACCTGGGGTGATGCACCCAATTCTTGGAGAATTGGGATGGGATGAAGGGGAGATGAGACCGGCAAGGGGGCTCGCTCTAGGGATGCAGATGTGGATCATCCTGTGCTGCATGAGCATGGGTGAAATCGAATGGACAAGGAACAGAAGGGAGAAAGCACGGGCGACAGTAAATGCTGCTGAGGCCATCTCCTGTACACACTACACTGCATTATGCTTGTCTCGGACTGCACTGCACCACGCCGCACTGTACTGCCCCGGATTGTGTTGTTTTCCATTCTAACGAACTGCACCTTACAGTACCGCAGTGCATCACATTGTACTGTACTGTACCTGCACGAGCGCGGATCGCAGCATGGTGCTGAGCCCATCCCAGATGAACTTCCACGTGCTCTCATTCAACACCTCGTTCACCCTCTCCTCCTCCTCCGTCAACTCCTCCCCTCCTCCTACCATCCCTCCTACCGCCCTTCCCCCATTCTGCTGCCAACTTTGCTGCTGCCCCCCCTCCCCCACATGCTCATCCAGCAGCGGCACGTGCAACGCCTCCTCTCCCTCCCCATCACCACCACCAATAGCAAAAACACCACCACCAGCAATCCCATTCCCCCGGGGACTCCAGCACCCCCCACCGCGTTTCCCCCCTGCCGCCCGGCCAGACAGGGAGCTCAGCAGCGGCGTGAAGATATGGATCTTGTGCCGCCCCTCGGCGGGCGGCAGCAGCAGGATGCAGACAAAAGCGGCGGCGGCGATGGTAGAGGAGGCGAGGATGGTGCCGAGACCAACACCGACAAGGCCCCAGTCGAGAACGTAAAGGGCCACGTAGGAGGCGAAGACGTCTAGCAAGACTCTACCGCCCTGCAGACATGCCACTAGGTTCACCCGCTGAAGGAATGGGGAGGGGGTGGGGGAAGGGGGGAACGGAAGGGGCAGAGACGGAGCAGAGAAAGGGAAGGAAAAGGGGCGCAGGAAAAGGGGAGGAGAAGGGAGAGGAAGTGTGAGTTGAGGCGACAGTGGGGGAGGCGAGGATGGTGCCAACGCCGACGCCCGACAAGCCCCCACTCGAGTTTATAGAGAGCGATGTAGGAGGCAAGGCACACACGTCTAGTAGCACTCTACCTCCCTGCACACATGCCACTAGGTTCACCTGCTGAAGGAAAACGGGGGGGGTGGGGGGGGTGGGGGTAGAAGTGGACGAGAACGGGAGGAGGTGGGGGGGAGAAGGGGCGGAGCGGAGGAGAAGGGGGTGTGATTTGATGGAATGGGATGAGAGAGAGGATGGTGGCCAGGCGGACACCGACAAGCCCCCAAAATGAGGACGTAGAGAAGAGAGCGCTGTAGGAGGCACACATGGCTTGCACCACCCTGCTGCTGCAGCATCGAGAGCGCTGTAGGAGGCACACATGGCTTGCACGACCCTGCCGCCCTGCAGACACGCTACTAGATTCACCCTCTGAGGGGGGGTTGAGGGAAGTGGAAGGAAGCGGAAGGGGCGGGGACAGGGTGTGGTTGTGTGGAAATGAGGTGACTTTTGAGTCGACTCAAAAGTCACAGGGTGTGGGGGTGTGGAAATTCGACGAGATAAGGGCGTGTGTAGGGCACCATCCGCGCCCCACTCGGTACTACACAGTGAACCTTGTAAATAAATCCCTTTGAGCCCCTCAGTCCGCACCTTCCACCACTCTAAACCGTACCTTGTAGCCCTGCAGGATCCCCGAGGTGCACATGACAAGCACGCCAATGACTCTGAGATAGAAGTAGCTGCGCGCGTAGGGCAGCACCTTGGGAGTCTCCGCCAGCAGCAGCACCCACCAGAACCGCTCTCAACCGCACTAGACCGTACCTTGTATCCTTGCAGTATGCCGGACGTGCACATGACGAGCAGCTGGGGCGGTACGCCAATGACTCGGAGGTAAAAGTAGCTGCGCGCGTAGGGCAGCACCTTGGGAGTATCCGCCAGCAACAGCACCCAAGATCACCGCACTAAACCGCATTGAACGTACCTTGTAGCCCTGCAGTATCCCCGAGGTGCACATGACGAGCAGCTGGGGCGGCACGCCAATGACTCTGAGATAGAAGTAGCTGCGCGCGTAGGGCAGCACCTTGGGAGTATCCGCCAGCAACAGCCAGAGCGGCTGCTGCAGCGCCAGCAGCAACCCCACCGCCACCATGCCCATCACCAGCGCCATCCCCAAGGCCAGGCGGATGCGCGCGCCCACCTGCGCCCATGCCCCCACCGCCACCACCTTAGTGACCTGCGGGGGGTTGGCGGGAAAGGGAGGGGAAGGAAAAAGCGGGGGGAAGGAGGCGTAGGATGGTGGGAGGAAGGAGGAGGGAGGAGAAGGTGAGGGAGGCGGGACTGGAGGGAGTAGGGGAAACGAGCGAGTGTACGGGGAAGCCAAAACGGTTCAAAATCGTCAAGCGATTCCAGCGCGTCAAGCCGAATGCAAGCCAAACTGCTTCAGAGAGAAGGGCGCAGCAAGGAGGGAGGGCAGGGAAGGGGAGGGAAAGAATGGAATCGCAGATTCGATTGTGCGCGCCATACCTTGGCAGTGACGCCGACGACGAGGAAGTTGAAGACGACTGTAGCCGCATTCGTAGCGGCTGTCGCCGATTATGTGGCAGCGGGAAGCCAGGAAGAGACACGTGGCAGTTGATCAGAAGGAGACAGAGGGCACAAAGGAACACGAGGGATGGGGGAACAGCGGGGAGAGAGAAGGGAAAGTCAGTGAATTGGGTGAATCCACCCCCTCCATTCCCCCATTCTCTCTCTCCTCCTCGCTCTCTCTTTCTCTCTCTATCTGCTACTCGTCCTCCCAGGTTTATTCTGTTCTAAAACTAGAGCCCCGACCACGTAAAAACGGACAGGTTGCTCCTCCGTGATTCGTAACCCGATCCAACTGTAAAAGGGTCCCGGAGCGTGCTGACTCTATGCCTGATACCGTGATAAAGTCTTTGGGTTCTGAGACGCCTCAACCGGCGCGTGGTGGCTAGAGGTTCGATCCTAAAGACCGCGGTGCGCCATACATTTCCTTCCCACAGGCCGCTGTTGCACGCTACGAGGCGCGTCAGAGAGACGGCGGAGATCGCGTCGGGAAGCATCTGCGAAGCACGCAAAACGTTTCTTCGAGGTACACAGCCAACGTATCTGCGACGTGCAGTCAACTCCAACCAAGCTCAGTTACGGAGGAGTCGACATTTAAGTAGAGTCGAGTCAAAGAAAACTGCTTGCGAGGCGAGATGCAGCAGACGCCTCCGAGTGCACGTACGTACGGAAGCGGTGCGTCCCACGCAGCCGGTCACGCACATCATGGGCAAGCGCGCGACACGAAACGGAACGAAACGCCTACGAGTTACGACATTTATCAATGCACGCTCCTCACTCGCATGCGTACGAGCAACACGAAACGCACACGACCCCCACGCATGATGTGCCTCCACGTCCCTCCTTTTCTCCCGCGCACCTCCTCCCCTCACTCCCCCTCCCCTCCTCCCCCTCCCCCCCTCCCCCTCCGCCCCATCCTCGTCCCGTCTAGGCCTCCCACTTTCCGCGACATTCGTCCGCCTGACGGTAACTTACTACCAAACCGCAGCACTTGCTTCCTCTATGCGACTCTCTGCGACTCACTTGCGACGATGGCCCATGCGGCGACGATCTCCGTGGACTTGCGACCGAGGAGCGCGGTCTGGAAGGTGATGGCGAGCGGCGCGCCGCTCTGGAGGAGAATGGAGGGCAGCGCGAGGCGCAGCAGCGACGAGTAGTGCAGCACGGGATTCAAATCCCGGAATACCATCCTCGACCCGACTGACGCCTTGTACCTACTCTCCCACGGCAAGGATTTCTCGCGTGTTAACGGCTCTCGTCTGGTTCGACTTTGGCGGGTTAAAGGCTGCTGCTTGTCGCCGATTAATGACTGTCGCCTGCTACAAGTGTCGCTTGCTAACGACAGCAACGTGGGATCCCTCGGGCTGGGCACACCGCCAAAAGAACGCGCACACAAGAAGCTGATCAGCTAGCAAAAAAAGCCGAATCAGCGAAAAATCGGTTCAAATCAGAACAAAAACTATCCCAGCCGCAGGTGAAGTACAACGATTACAAGTCAGTGACCACCAGCCAAGACGACCTATGATACCCCCAAGCTAAACGCAGTTACGGGCAACTACTGGACTGATCAAGTGCTTAACATGCAGACCATCGAGCGGACTCAACAACTAACGGACCACCCCCATCGCGCGAGTCGGAGTGGAATTCTAAGCTTGCTCGTTGACAGACAGCTCGCTTCACAACAAACTACGCGTGTTAGGAGACAAGTGTTCCACAAATTGACACATCTGACTCGGCCACTGTGGAGTTCACACAACGCTAGTGTCGCGGAGAACTTGGAAAAAAGGCCAGCCAAGACCGAGGAAAGTTGTTCCAGGGTGGCTGAACCTCGCTCCTTGTCGACAGGTAAGTTCCTCTTGGTTCGAATTTGGTTTGGTTCAAGCAAAAACGCTATCCGTACCTGCCTCGGTTCTGCTTGCCCGTACAGTTCCGTTTGGGTTGGTCTGGGCTGCCACCAGACTCGGTTTGCCTCGGTCAAGGTCAGAAGCTGGAAGGTGGGGCGGGGCAGGCTGTGCGATTGCGTGTAGTGGTTGACATGTTTGCCACTTGGGTGCCACTTGAGTGCCCAGGACAGGGCTGCTTCACGGGGCGATTGGAAATTTACCCGAAGTGTCACCACCACCTCCCTGATCAGCACAAGCAAACTGGGAGGAGGGCTTCCACAGTAAACCGAACTGTACAGTCGATGCTCAGCCTATCACAAAACATTTGCTCTTCACAATTAGAAATTTAGTCACTCGCGAACGTTTTGCCCGTGAGTGACTAAATTGACCATCGTGCCGATTTCAGGGTACAGTCACCATTTTGAGGAAGAAAAACATCTACAATACATAAACAAAAGTTTCCCGTCATCAGAGAATTTAACATGGTTACGAAATTAAAGCCCCTGACTCGATCCGCGTCTCAATTTCATATTTCTGTCACATTTTTGCCCGTGGCAACAAGGGCGAATGTGGCGACATGCCTCCAACAAGTTTCACGCACATGCCGCCCGCCTACCTGGTATTCTTGAAATGGGCACCGATTGTACAAATGATGCCCGACTAGTGCACGCGAAATTGCCATGCACCGGATGGAAACGCTGCCCCCGAGCTGGAAACCCCTGCTTGCTGCTCCCACAGTACAAGCACATGGGTGGCTGGCAATAGTACACGCGACTCAGCCATCAATGCACGTGCAGTCCCGAACAAGCCATGCCGACCCACTGTTGCCTTGTTTCTAGGTCAGGAGTCGGAGAGGCAAAATGACTGGACGAAACGACTATAGTTTCGTGAACGCATTCGCCCATCTAGGCCGCCACCTAAGCAAGGATCATCGTGCGTGTAACAGGCATTTGGTCAAATACACGCTGCCACGTGTAATTCGGGACTTGCAAGGTACAAGCGCATTACCAGCCAGGCGTGCTTCGCCCACCCCACGTCAGACATTCGAGGGTGTGGTTACCAAACCACGCGATAAAAAATGCAAGCCATGTGCATGGAACGAACACCAATCACCAAAATGTGACATGCAACAAAGAACAGGCCCCAGCCTTGCCCAGCATGCCCGACCTGTGACGATAAAAATCGAACAACTAATTCACTAAGTCAGCATTCTCTCACACCCCAGCCGCTCACAATGCCCCGCTTTAATCGACAAGAGCAGCTCCCGCTCCATATCAAGCGCGCTATTTGCGCGCACCGCGTCGACAACCGCCGCCTGCGTCATGTTGACATGGCGAGGTGGTGCTACACGCAGTACGGATTGCGCCCGGATCGCTCCACTGTCGGCCGCATATTGAAGCTCCCCGAGCGATGGGCTGTCACGGCAACCGACGACAACCAAGTGCGCCGTCGAGGTGGCGCATGGCCTGAGCTGGAGCAGGCCATGGCGCGGTGGATCGCAAACGCAGGGCCCGCTGGCATGCCTCTGACGCTGCAGACCATCCGCGACCATGTCGCGACGATGTCCCGGAACATGGGCATTCCGCCCTCATTCCGCTGCTCCATCGGCTGGGTGCGCCGTGCTTTGAGGTACCAGGGAGTGAGGTGCCGTGCAACACAAGGCGAGGCGGCTAGCGCGGACATGGCCGCCGTGCGCCACGCACGTGAGAAGCTGCCGCAACTCCTCACGCATCTCGGTGTCACCCCGCGGGACACTTTCAACCTCGATGAGACGGCGCTCTGGCTGTCAGTCCTCCCTCGGCGCACTTACAGCAACGGCCGCATTCCCGGCTGCAAAGTATCGAAGGAGCGGCTCACCGTGGCATTCCTCGTGAATGCTGACGGGAGCCACGTATTCCGACCGCTCGTGATCAGTAAGGCGAAGCGGCCGCATGACTTCCGCTCGGATTATGACCTTGAATCCCTTTGCTACTGGCGGCACAACGCATAAGGCTGGATGACCTCGCCGATAAGCTCGTCGTGGTTTATTGTTTCGTGCGTTCTTGTTGCTGCGGACAAATTACGCGTAATATCAAATCTGTATGGAATGTGTTTGTGCCTGCAATGTTCCCATGTACGTTCTGCCTTCCCCTCCCTTCCCGTCCCTGCAGTTATTCACACATTTCATATCGCAGCTCAATGGTGCGATGTACGCCAAAGGTCGCAAGATCGTGTTGCTGCTCGACAACGCGAGCAGCCACATGCTCCGCTCTGAGCTCGCATGGAGCGAGATCGTCTGCGGCATGCGGACGACCTGCATGAGCAACGTGCGGCTCGTCTTCCTGCCGCCGAATACCACCACATTCACACAGCCGCTCAATCAGGGCATCATAGCCGCCGTAAAGGCCCGCTACCGACAGCATTGGCTGCGGGCCTTCTCGGCTTTGTGGAACGGCGACGGCGCGACTTTCGCCGTCGCACGTTTCCGCCCGAACTTGCGCGATGTCCTCGCGTGGACCTCGGTCGGCGCGCGCACCATTCAACGGTGCTGGTGGCGCACGGGGTGTCTGCAGCTCTCGTGGTCCCTGGAGCTGACGCATGTACACGACGATGAGCCCTCCCCCGCCGTCTACCCCGACATCGAGCTCGACGATGACATCGACGATGTCGGGACACTTATTAGCGTGCTCGCCCTCGGGAATGCGGCGATGACGGCCGTAGAGTACGTCGCCACCGACGACGGCGAGCCAACGTGCGCCGAGGGCGCTGCGGGACAGCCCACAACTGAGCCGGAGGCGGGCCTAGAGGTGGAGCTTTGGCACGCGCCGACGACCATGCAATCCGTCTACGACGACGCCGACCCAGTGTGCCGCGAAGCGTGGCGCACTGCACGGGTGGCATGCGAGATGCTCATCGGATATGCACGGGCCACCCGCATCACGCCGCGCGATCTGTGCCATCTGTTCGATATCCGCAACCCCATCGTAATCGCGCGGATGGAGCGGGCGAGCCCGTCATTCAACCTCAACGTGGCGCCTCAGCCCGTACCCTCCACGGGCGCAACTCCCACGCCCGAGACCCCTCGTCCGCGCGGCCGTGTGCTGCCCGGCTGGATGACCCGTCCGTCTCGCCGTCAAGAGTTGTTTGACGCCGGTGTGGGCGCCGTGATGGACGGGTATGTGGACGCGGCTGAGTGGATGCGTCTGTGAGGGGGGGGTGGAGCAGATTTCGCAAGGTGTCGAAGGCATTTTGCTGAGAGCCCAAGTGTTCACTCCTTGTGCCCATTTGTGCGTGCTTTGTTTTGTGTGTTGAATGGAGATGATGGGCCAGGTGGAGGATGTGTTGATTGGAAGGTGTTTGTGTTTTGACTGTTTTTTACTACGAAGAACAATTGTTGTGCATGCTTGTTTCGGTACTGTAGCGTTCGTTTAGTAACCCTAAACACACAACAGGGACAAGTGCTGCAACCCCTTACTGTTGCGACACAGAAAAAATGGGTGGTTGCCATGTGCAGTTTTGAAGCACGCTGGACGCCTGACGAAATTCACGAATGCCCCGCGAAATGCAGGTTTAGCTTACAGATCCAGTTCACAAGGCAACCGGGAGAGGCTCTAACGAGCATCAGGTGTACCGTGTTGGTGTGGATAATCTCGAAAGTTGTTCAGTAAGCTCCCAGGCAAGAAAAAACCCCTGAGGCGTTGGGACCCGTGTCTGTCAGCTCCTGCGACGCTGTGCGACTTTGCCCAACCTTTTCTGTCCCGTCACACGCATGTTTCGCAACAGCCATTGGTTTCTTCGCTGTGGTTCGACATCCTGACCAGAAATCGTCACCACTCATTTTGACCGTGTTTGCACACATCATCTAGTTCAATTGAAACTTCGCGTCTCATTGGTGAGAATATGCACCAATCATTTCATTCTGTCATACCACATGCCTCCCTGCGACTCTGGAGTATCTGGCGAATCGCCCTGGCGCATGGGGTGTAGCAGCAACCAGACATAAGAGGCGTTCATTTCTCGTTTTGGTTCTACTCACTCAAGGTATTATGAGCTGTAAAATGAAAGAGCGCGCAGAAGTAAATAAAGAGCTGTGAATACAACTACTTACAATAAACCAAAACCTAATACAAAGAATTAGTGAGGGGCCTAACCAGAAGGGGTACCAACTAATTGCTGACATTTTAGTCTTTGCTGGATTTTCATAAAATTTTCGCCTCATATCAAACTTTTTGTTGCTTGTACTCAGTAGTACCAACTTGTTATAATCAAATATGCTAAAGCATTGACTGTATTGTTACAATTTGTACAGCAAGTTACATGTTTCAAATTAGCCCACCAATTCCTGCGTCCCCTCTCCCTTCCAGTTCCCCAGGCAAAGGAAATCGGCCACTCATTATAATCTCCATAGACAACAACGCATTCCACGCGTCGGGCGCGCCCGGCAGGCACAAGTACACGCAGTCCACCTATCTGAACGCCTTGCCGTCCCTGTTGTACCACCGCATGAGGCGCGCGTCGGGCCGAGTTTTGAGGCGCCTCAAACCCGGCAGGCATAAATGCACGCAGTCCACCTGTATGGACGCCTTGTTGGCCTTGTTGTACCACTTTATAAGGTGCGCGTTGGGGCGCATGGCAGAGAGCGCGGTGATGTTGAGCAGGTGCACGGCCGTGCCCTCCACTGCTGCCTCTGCGGTCAGATCTCGCAACTGGAAGGACAGCCGATCCACCTGCTCTTGTGTCAACATGCTCTAGAGGGATTTAGGTTTGGGTTGTAAGGGTCAAGGGTTTAGGGTGGGAAGCAGGCGCACGGCTGCGCCCTCCACTGGTGCCTCTGCGTTCAAATGTCGCAACTAGAAGGACAACCCATCTGCCTGTTTCTGAGTCAACAAGTTCTGGAGGAGTGCGGGTTAGGGGTTTTAGGAATTGGGGTTGAGGTTCGGAGAGACACCTTAGCGGGGTGGGGGGGAGGAGGACGGGGGAGAGGAGAGGGTGGCATCGGTATAATGCTACTGAAAGTTCAAACACTTCAAACCTGGGCTAACCAAAAAAAGCATCAAGCATCCCTAAGAAGCCCTCAACTACATCGCGTCACAACTCCTGGAGGGGGGAGGAGGGGGGAGAGGAGAGGGCGGCATCAGTATAATACAACCGCAATTTCAAAGTCTTCAAACCTGCTCTAACCAGAAAAAGCATCAAGCTATAAGAAGCCCTCAACTGCATCGCACTACAGCTGCTGCCACCTTTTCGTGTGCCCCACTGCCCAACCATTCGACCGCCAAACCACCGTTCTCTAACACCCCAAAACCACCCAACTCATAGCCCCTCACCTTCAGCTTGTCACACCCGCCACCAGCGTTCCCCCGCCCATCCATAACATGATCTGGGGACCGCGTCGCTAGCAGGACAAGTGGCAACGGCCGCTCGCCCTCCCCTCCCCTCTCCACCCCCTCCCCCAAACCCAACCCCCCATCTCTCAACCCCCTCTCCCTCTCAACCCTCGAATCATCCCCCATCTTTTCCTCCGCGTCACCCCCTGACTCGCCGCCATGTCATTCCCCAGCCTGGTCCTCTAGTTAGCCATAACCTGCAGCTGCTGGTGATCCCACATGGCCGTAGAGCGCAGCACAGAGCGTATGGGCAGGTTGAAGTTGCGCTCCATCTGCCTGTGTCTGTCTGGAGGGATTGGCTCCCCACCGAAGTAGAAGTGCCACCCGTATTCTTGCATCTTGTTGCCGTAAATGTGGGGAGAGGGAGGGAACGCAGTAGCAGGACGGACGGAGCACATGGGCACGTTGAAGTCACCCTCTATCTACTTATGCGTTGTGTGGGGGATCTGGAACGCCACCGATGTGGAAGTGCCAACCATACTTGTGCATCTTGGAGAAGGGAGGGTGGAGGGGTTGGGGGTGTCAGAACATTATAGCTTATACATTTGTGTAGGCTGTAGTGGGGGTAGCCCATAAGGGGTACAACCCAATAAGGGTTAGTACTTGTACTCAACTGTTTCATAGTTCTTTCATTCTCGTTCACTTTCTCGTTTCTGCGCACCGACACCTCCTTGCCGCCGTTCTACATTCTCATATACGTCGAGGACTTGGTCTTTGCCACTGCTGACACTGCTGGACTCGCCCACGTGAAGTTTGAGCTGCACAAGAGACACACGTGCACAGACCTGGGTGAACTGCGCAGCTACCTTGGCTTGCAGATCACCCGGGATAGAGCACGCCGCACCATTACCCTGACTCAGTCACACATGGTGCAGCAGGTCCTTCCGCGCTTCGGCTTCACGTACTCCTCGCCTCAGGCCACTCCTCTGCCTACTCGCCACTCGCTCTCAGCTCTGCCTTCGGATGAGTCCGTAGAGTCGAGTGGCCCGTATCTAGAGCTTGTTGGCTGCCTCATGTACCTGATGACCTGCACACGACCTGACCTTACACACCCTCTTAGCATTCTCGCACGCTATGTGGCTCCTGGGAGACACAGACTGGAGCACATGGCTGCAGCAAAGAGGGTGTTGCGCTACTTGTCCAGTACATCGGGCATGGGGCTAGTGCTTGGAGGGCAGAGTCCAGTGGTCCTTACTGGGCATGCAGACGCTTCTTGGGCTGACGACCAGGCTACGCAACGGTCGTCATAGGGTTACACCTTTAGCCTTGGTTCCGGCTCTGTTTCGTGGCGGGCTACCCGCTCGTGATGTACCCCTTCAGAGGGCGCTAATTGCATACTCATCTCCTACAGCCAGTTATGGGGGCGTGTCGGAAAATATTATTTAATATTTTCTATATGTAACTGCGTGTAGGATTGTTTACTGTAGTTATAGCGTTTTCCTATTTGGTGGTGCACCTTTCTTGCTTGTTCTCTCATATTTGTACCCTTGAACCTATAGTGAAACCCTCATTCTCTCGACTCATCTCTTTTTTCAACTTTCTCAAACTAAACTCGAACTCTCTCCTAAGCTTCCATGGCTCCTAAGCCTAAGTCACGCTAGTTATTTTCACAACTTGTGCAGTACCTCGGGCATGGGGCTTGTGCTTGGAGGGCAGAGTCCAGTGGTCCTCACTGGACACGCAGACGCTTCTTGGGCTGACGACCAGGCTACGCAGCGGTCGTCATTGGGTTACACCTTTAGCCTTGGTTCCGGCTCTGTTTCGTGGCGGGCTACCCGCTCGTCTTCTGTTCTCGGCTCCAATCGTGAGGCTGAGATCTATGCAGGAGCCATGGCTGCACAGGAGCTTCGCTGGCTCACCTACCTGCTGACTGACCTCGGAGAGCCGCCTCGTTCTCCTCCAGTGCTGTACGTAGACAACAAGGCCATGCTAGCCTTGTGTCGAGAGCAGAGACTGGAGCACAGAACGAAGCACATTGCTCTCCGCTACTTCCTTGCTCGTGAGTTGCAGCAGCGTGGTCAGCTGCGTCTTGCGTACGTGGCCTCCGAGGCCAACACTGCTGATATCTTCACCAAGGCACTTGCGCCTTGTGATCATCAGCGCTTCTGTACTCAGCTGGGTCTTGTGCCTGCCTTGCCTCACTTGCTCATCTCTTGACCTTGTTTGTACTGTTACACATATATATGTATATATACACCTGCTCTTGCTTGTCTAGCCTTTTATATATATGTACTCCTGGATGTGAACTGGCCTTGTAGCCTTGAACTTGTGCTCGGAATGTGTGGTGACTTTGTGATCCACCCTGAGCTTGCTTTGCTTTGCTTGACTGGTCTTGTGACCCCTTGTTCTCCCCCACTTTGCCTATGGGGGTGTGTCGGAACATTATAGCTTATACATTTGTGTAGGCTGTAGTGGGGTAGCCCATAAGGGGTACAACCCAATTAGGGTTAGTACTTGTACTCAGCTGTTTCATAGTTCATTCATTCTCGTTCACTTTCTCAGGGGGGAGAAGGGGGGGTAGACGGGTTATGGGGAGAAGGGGGGAACAAGCCATATGAAGAACGATGGGCATGTTGTGGTAATCATTTTCCATCTGCTTTTGTGCGCGCATAGCTCGTTAGAAGCACAATCTTCTAAGCTTACATGTGATAGCAAGAGCTTGCAATGTAATCACATCCTCCACCGCTCGAACACTCCAATGGTTCCCTCAATGCACATGCATTACAGTTATGTAACTTTAGAGCCAGGTGACATTTCCCTCAACAATCACATGCATCTCTTTTAAATGCCTTTTGGGGCACCTAAAAAATAATCACATACACCTCCCCCAGATGCAGTCTCGACAACATTCTCGACACACAACTGCCATTCAGAGCCAAACGACATTACCCCTCCCTGGACAGTCATTGCTTCCCCCACTCACTCACATGATCCATGGGTGCTGCTGTGTTCATTACAATCACATCCATATCCACTCACATGTTCCAATGGCGGCATGTGTTCATTATAATCACAACCATCTCCTCAAAATGCTGCTTCATGAACTCGTTTGGTTTGTCAGAATATTATTCTTATGTTCTAGCCTGTAGTGGGGTGCTCTATAGCGAGTACAACCCTTCTAGGGTTTGCTATTTGTATCCCCATTTCTGCTAGTTCATTCCTCTTTCTTCCTTCAAACTTTGTCATGCTATCAGAGCAGGTCGATCCCCTTGGATCGATCCTGTGGGTGGGTTTCCACCTCGCTTCCGCTGCTACCTTTCCTTCACGCCGTGCGCCCCGAGGCGCGCGGCGGTTTTCCTTCCTGCCGTGCGCCCCGAGGCGCGCGGCGGTTTTCTGCCCGCCGTGCGCCCCGGGGCGCGCGGCGGTTCTTTGCCCGCTGTGCGCCTCGAGGCACGCGGCGGGCGTCTGCCCTACGTCGCGGCCCCGCCCCGACCGTCGCGGCCCCGCCCCGACCGTCGCGGCCCCGCCCTACAGTCGCGGCCCCGCCCTACGTCGCGGCCCCGCCCCGACCGTCACGGCCCCGCCCTACGTCGCGGCCCCGCCCGACCGTTGCGGCCCTTCCCTACGTCGCGGCCCTGCCCCGACCGTCGCGGCCCCGCCCTACGTCGCGGCCCCGCCCTGTGTCGCGGCCCCGTCCCTCGAAGCGGCCCTGCCCGACCGTCGCGGCCCCCGCCCCTCGTCGCGGCCCCGCCCCTTGTCGCGGCCCCGCCCTCCAACCAGGCCCGTGGTGGGCCCCCTTTCACCACACCGCCTCCCCCCCCCCCCCCCCCCCCCCCCTCCCCCCCATTTCCCGTCGCCTGTCGCGGCTCCTGAGGGGGCCGCAAGCGGCCCCCTCAGGTCGCCTCGACAGGACGACGGGAGGGGCGAGCTGTGGGGTGGCGGGTATGGGGGTGGCCGGTGTGCCTTCCTCCCTTTCTCCTCCTCCTCCTTCGTCTCCCACTGCTGCAGCTGTCGCTGAGGGGGGTGGTTGTGTGGGAGACTGGGTTTAGGGTTTAAGGGGGGTGCGTGGGAGTGGAGCTAGCGGTGTAGCAGTGGGTGTGTATGAGGGGGGTGGGACTGTGTGCGGGAGGTTGAGCGGAGGTTGCCAGTTTGTCGTCCGCAGCACCTGTAGTCCGGGGCGCTGTCCCGGTAGCCCAGTGAGCTTGTCGCTGAGCCGGTCGCCTGTGGGTCCGTTGCCCGTCTGCCGCTACTTGAGCCGCGGGGCCTGTTACTTCCGTAGTTCGGGGCGCTGTCCCGGTAGCCACTGTGCTCGCCACTCCTGTTGCCCGTGTGTCTGCAGCTTCAGCCGCCGCCTTCTATCTCCTCTCCTCTCACTCTCCCTCCTCCTCCTCACTTGCCCGTTGTGACCACTGCTAGCTTTGCTCATAATTGTTAACTTTGAACTATTTCTTCTTGACCTTGTGCTCAGAATGCGTGGTGACATTGTGATCCACCCTGAGCTTGTACTGTTTTGCCTGCTCTGCTGATTACACCCCACTTTGGCTATGGTGGTGTGTCAGAATATTATTCTTATGTTCTAGCCTGTAGTGGGGTGTGTCAGAGGTCCACTGGTGATCCCCGATCGATCCTAGGGAAGGGTTACAGGCACGTTTGCCTGGGAGGTTATGGGCGCACTGACCCGCTACTGAAACAAGCCCTTTTATCCCAATGGTCTAGTGGTTGGGATTCTGAGATGGTATCAGAGCGAAGGTCTCGGGTTCGAATCCCGGTGTATGCACTTCGGGCATCCCAGTGCGGGGGGGTGTCAGAGGTCCACTGGTGATCCCCGATCGATCCTAGGGAAGGGTTACAGGCACGTTTGCCTGGGGGGTTATGGGCGCACTGACCCGCTACTGAAACAAGCCCTTTTATCCCAATGGTCTAGTGGTTGGGATTCTGAGAGGGTGCTCTATAGCGAGTACAACCCTTCTAGGGTTTGCTATTTGTATCCCCATTTCTGCTAGTTCATTCCTCTTTCTTCCTTCTAACTTTTGTCATGGTTGGTCCAGGTGAGCCGCCTGCTGTGCGGACTCATTCTCCCAATCCTTTCGTGCCACGTGACATAGAGATGTTGTCCACTTGTGCACCCCAGTCATGTTGGTTTCAAGGAAGCGATACGCCGACACCCGCAGTGGCATGTAGGGGAAAGAGAAAGTGAAGGGAGGTAGGTAGAGACACATGCAGGATGAAGCACAGGACAGGACAGCATAATTTTTTTTTTCTGTTTTTTCAGGGGCCTCACGAGTGGAGCACAGGGGTGCAGTGCGGTGCATTGCACTTGAGCAATACTATAACGGTGTTGGTTTGGTTACAGTAATCCGCACTACCAGGGTGTGTGTGATGATTGGCTGCTAGGTGGGTGGGTGCGCAACATTAGAACGAGATGAGGAGGCAAGGGAGGGAGACGAACAGTTGTAACCCCATTAAGTGGACGATTTTTGAGTCGACTAAAAAATCGTCTCATCATGCACGAACTGCTGCGACCCCATTGAGCATATTTTGAAATCCACTAGATATTGCCCGCCACATGCCTACCAGACTACCACCCACATGCCGCCCACCTGCCTCCCACCTGCCGCCCACCTGCCACCCGTCCACATGCTTCCCCCTACCACCCACCTGCCGCCCACATGCCAGCCGCGCCAGCCAGCTGTCCACTTGAACCAACTGTCCTCCACTGTGGCAGGGGATGGGAGAGCAAGCAGTGCCACGGTGGAAGCGAGGAAGCTTATGGAGTGGATGAGAGGAGTAAAGTAGTGCTGTGTTGAACTTCTGAGTCAAGTCAAAAGTCAACTCGGACGCAGTGCCGTGTTGAAGGGGCACCAAAGAGGATCAACAACAGCCAGTGTTTGAAATGGGTGAGCCATACGAAACTTTTTCTGTGTCATATTAGATGCAGGCAGAGAGGAAAGTCATCTGCCCAATTGACATGCAGGGGGGGATAAAATCCTTCCGGAAAAAATGAAGAAGATGAAAAAGCAAACAAACAAATAAGCAAACAAGCAAACAAAAAGTCAGGATAAGGCTCCAGGTGTGAGTATAGCTACATGGGAAATTTTAATTCACACCTGAGAGCACAAGCTCACGTACAGACGTATTTCTCCGTGGCAAGAGGAGGCTCGTCGTCTTAGGAGCCAACCTCAGCTGCATCCTCGCTACCCGCACTTGATTCAGACCCACGACTTTGAGAAGCAGCAGCAGCATTGGCAGCAGCATCACCATCACTATTCCCAGCAGCAACGGAAGCTTCGCCGCTGCTTCCGCTGCCACCACCACTAATACCAGCGTCTCCGCTATCTGCGCTCATTTGACCATTGTCGTCAGTCGAACTCCTTGTCAATCCAATGGCTCGTAGATCCAAGGCAGAAAAAGCCGACTCCGCTATCCGCCTACTGGCCAATACCAGGATCGACAACGCAGTTAATATAACGAGTACCACTATAAACGCTGAACGAAACGACAATCCACTTTTCCTGCTCTTTTCCCTCCCTATTTGTTAGAAAGAGCATTGCCACCCTCCCACTCCGTCTACTTTCGCATCTGCCGAGCCTGCACCGCCGGCTTGGCCATGCAGGTCTTGACGACGGATCGTTGGGAAGAATCGAGAAATCGTGAGTCATTCCCGCGCGGCTGCATGGAAGTTTCAAGCAACTCACGGATTAGACGTCAACATTAGCTCGGTGGAATCAATGGATGGAGTGAGTTGAGGGCTGAACGGGAATCTGTAAAAATGATGTTAGCGAGCAACGGGGTGTTGGGAAGCATAACTCTGCACCTGAGCGAAGGGCAGGCACTAGGCAAGAAGCTAGTTCCGTTGCTGGGAATTGAACCCGGGTCTCTCGAGTGTGCGTAGGACGTGGTGCAACTTGTTTTTTTTTTTTTTGGTTGCGAAACAACCTATTACAATCATTATGTACATTTCTTTTTGTCAGAATGTTATCTTTGTCAGAACATATAGCTTGTGCTTATTGTGTAGGCTATAGTGGGGTAGCCCATAAGGGGTACAACCCAATTAGGGTTAGTTTTTGTACTCAGTTCATTCATAGTTCATGTTAAGAATAATATATACAATTCTATATATTGTTTTTTGTAACTGCCTGTAGTGTAGACTACTGTAGTTATATAATGTTCTGTTTTGGTGGTGCACCTTTCTTCTTGCCTATTTGTACTCCTCGATCTATAGTGAAACCCCTCTTTTGTTCAAACTTTCTCGACCTTTCCTAAACTCACTCGAACTCGATCTCCCTCCAACGTACCATGGCTCCTAAGCCTACCGCTCCTAAGTCTTAATTTCACATGGTATCAGAGCGAGGTCCCTATCCTAGGACCTGATTTTTTTTTTCCCATGGGCCCACCGCTTATCGCTCCTACCATGGCACTCGTCGCGGCCCTAGCTGTGCCCGTTCAGCCGCTCGTCGTGAAGGTCACGAAGTCGAGCATGAGCGTGGCGGGCTTAGTGCTGTTCGTCGCGGCCCCGGTCGAGGGCCCCCTCGCCTGCCCTTCGCGCCCTCCTGCAACCTTGTCACGCCCTGTCGCGGCCCCGAGCGTCTGCATCGACGGTCGCTTTGGGGGGAGACAGCGGGTGTGGCGGCCGAGCTACTTACGTCGCCGAACGCGCCCCCTGCCCCACCCTCCCGTCGAACATACCGCTGCTACCACTGCAGCTGCCACGCAAGCGACGGTGCAGCAGTGTGGGGGGGTGGTTTTGGGGAGGCGGGTGTGAGCAAGAAGCTGCCGCCCCTCCTCTCTCTCTCACTGCCGCACGTGCCGCTGTGGGGGGGGGGGGGGAGTGAGGGGGCGACGGAAGTTAGCCGGTCATCTGCTGCTGACGCCCACTGCTGCCGTGGCACCTCCAGCTGCCGCCCCTGCTACCACCTACCTTTCCTTTTGTCCTTGTTTCTGCTACCTACTGCTGGGGCCTGCAGGTGCTGCCGTCGAGCCGCTGCTGTCCTGCTGCATGTTGCAGCCACAGAGCCTGCTCCTCAGGCGCCGTGCCGCCCCAACACATGCTACTTTTGTTTTACCTTGGTAAAGGGGTTGGTACAGCTGGATCTGCCATTACTGCACTGGTTGCCACTGCACTTGCTTGTTGCTATGATTTCCACTGCGGCCTGTCTGGTGTACCCCATTATGGGGGCGTTGACTGCATATTCTTCCCTACAGGCACTTATGGGGGCGTGTCAAGAATAATATATACAATTCTATATATTGTTTTTTGTAACTGCCTGTAGTGTAGACTACTGTAGTTCTATAATGTTCTGTTTTGGTGGTGCACCTTTCTTCTTGCCTATTTGTACTCCTCGCTCTATAGTGAAACCCCTCTTTTGTTCAAACTTTCTCGACCTTTCCTAAACTCACTCGAACTCGATCTCCCTCCAACTTACCATGGCTCCTAAGCCTACCGCTCCTAAGTCTTAATTTCACAGTTCATTCATTCTCGTTTCTTCTCATGGTATTAGAGCAGGTTCCCTAGTGGGAACGCTACCTAGGGCCCACCACGATTTTTTTTCCTGCCCGGAGCGCACCTTAGACTAGACCGAGTCGCGCGCAGCCCCGTGTGCCCTCCCTACCGTCGCGCCGCCCTATCGGCCCCTCCTTGCGCCACCCGTCGACCCCGCGCGCCGCCTTAGTGGCTCCCTGCGCCGCCCGTCGACCCCGCGCGCCGCCATAGTGGCCCCCTGCGCCACCCGTTGACCCCGCGCGCTGCCCTAGCGCCCCCCCCCCCCCCTACGCCGCCCGTCGACCCCGCGCGCCGCCCTAGTGGTGCCTTACGCCACCCGTCGACCCCGAGCGCCGCCCTTGCGGCCTCGCCGCCCTTACCTGCGGCCCCGCCGCCCTTACTTGCGGCCCCGTTGCCCTCACCTGCGGTCCCCGCCACCCTTACCTGCGGTCCCCCGCCGCCCTCAACTGCGGCCTCGCTGCCCTCAACTGCGGCCTAACCGCCCTCACCTGCGGTCCCCGCCGCCCTCAACTGCGGCCTCGCCGCCCTTACCTGCGGCCTCACCGCCCTTACCTGCGGCCTCGCCGCCCTCACCTACGGTCCCCGCCGCCCTCAACTGCGGCCTCGCCGCCCTTACCTGCGGCCCAGCCGCCTTCCCTACGGCCCCGTCACCTGTTGCAGCGCCGCCCGCCACCTGAGCCACCCGTGCCGCCTCACCTCGCCGAACAGCCGACCGCCGCGCCGCCCTGCAGCAGCACGGCCGAGACGCCCAGCAGCTGAGCAGCCGAGCAGCCGAGCAGCCGAGCCGCCCAGTAACCGAGCAGCCGAGCTGCCCTGCAGCCGAGCCGCCCAGCAGCCGAGCCGCTCTGCAGCCGAGCCGCCCAGCAGCCGAGCCGCCGTGCAGCCGAGCCGCCGAGCCGCCCTACCTCCGAGCCGCCCGAGCAGCCTCGTCCGGTGAGCACAGTGCCTCTTTTCTTGCACTGCCCTCACCCTACTGATGCACTGCTAGTCTACTGTGGTCATGGCTACCCCTAGTGTCCTCACTTTTGACGCTGAGGGTCGAGCCATTGACTTTGACGTCTGGGTAGATGACTTGCAACTGTTTTTATAGTGTGATAGGGCAGACGGTCTCTCACTCTTTGACCTCACCTCTGGCGCCTCTCCTGCCCCTGGTGCTGATGCCGACGCCACTGTTCGCTCCCAGTGGGCTATGCGCGACGCTGCTGCACACCTTGCTGTGCGTCGCCACCTCCCTACCTCCGAGCGTGCGCACTTTAGTCAGTACAAGAGTGCTCAGACCTTGTATGACGCTGTAGTTGCGCGCTACTCCTCCCCTGCCACTGCTGCACTGAGCCGTGTCATGCTACCGTACCTCTTCCCTGACCTTGCTGCCTTTCCCACAGACGCTAACCTCATTACGCACCTCCGCACTAGTGACACTCGCTACCGCGCTGCACTTCCTGCTGACTTCTACGCCAAGAACGCCCCCCCCCCCCATGTACATCACTCTCTACTACATAGTCACTCGCCTCCCTGACTCCCTTCGCGTAGTCAGGGACCACTTCCTCTCAGTCTGTCCCACCACTCTCACTGTTGACCTCCTTGAGAAGTCCCTCCTAGCGCCCGAGAAGAGCATAGTCGCTGTAGGGGCCTCTCGTGGTGACCCGCGCACCCCCATCTTTGAGGGGTGTTCCCCCTCCCCACTTCTGCCCTCTATTGCCTCTACTGCTGCGGCCGACCTCCTTGGTCTTGAGTCGGTCGGTGCGGCGTCTGCCCCTAGCGGGAGACGCCACTCTGGCAAGGGCAAGGGGGGGCAGGGGCACTAGAGGGGCGAGCAGGGGCGGTGGAGGTGGAGGTGGAGGCGGCGGGGGGAGTGGGGGTGGCGATGGGAGTGGTGGTGGGGGTGGAGGTGTCGGTGGCGGCTGCGGAGGCGGAGGCGGCGGCGGCGGCGATGGCGGTGGGAGCGGAGGTGGCGGAGGTGGCGGCGGTGGAGGAGGCGGCGGAGGCGGCGGTAGTAGCGGAGGCGGCGGAGGCGGCGGAGGCGGCGGGGGTGGCGGTGGAGCTGGTTGCGGGTCTACGTAGAGGAGTGGCTCCGGTGGTGGTCCGCGCAAGCAGCAGCAGCTCGGTCGTGAGACCCTGTCCCTTCAGCAGCTCCGTGAGTGGTACACTGCACGCCAGCGGGGTGGGGGTTTTGGTCCGTGCACCTACGTTTTGCGCACCGGCGACCGTGCGGGTGAGCAGTGTGGGGGTGCGCACCCCACCCAGCGCTGCTTTGGCCGCCTGACGGACGCGTGGCGTCACCAGTTCCCGGAGGCCACAGAGATCCCTCGCTGGGGCGAGCTGTCTAGGGCGGGTGTTGCCATCTATGATCTTGATTTTGATGCGATTCTTTCTGCCATGTATGCTGTGTCTATTAGTGATGAGGGTGACTGTTACCGGTGCTCCCCGCCCGATCCGGGCATTGAGACTGCTGCTCCAGATATTGGTGAGGCGGCTGCCCTAGGTGCTTGCGACGCTGCTTCTCTAGGTGCTAGTGCGTCTGCGTCCTCAGGTACTGGTGAGTCTGCGCTCTCAGGTACTACGTCGGCTTCGGCCTCCCTCACCTTCACCCATAACTCTGGGGCTTCTCGCTCCTTCATTCGGGACCGCACCACACTCACGCCGCTTAGTCGGCCGGTTGCGGTGTCTCTCGCTGACCCCTCTGGGGGTCCTGTCCTGTCTCACTTCTCCACAGTCCTCCCGTGTCCGCTGGCTCCCTCTGGCACCCTGTCTGGTCTCTACCTCCCCTTGTTCTCTACGAACCGGGTGAGTGGTGCTGACCTACAGGATGGGGGAGTACACCAGTTCACTCCTACGCATCAGCGGGTGACGCACTGCACAGTGGCTAGCACAGGCCGACACCTGGCTACGTTTACCCTTCAACCGGGGTCGAGCCTGTACACACTGACCTCTGCGTCTCCTCCAGTTGTTGAGTCTGGTAGGGTCGCTGCATCGGGTCAGGTGTTTACTGCAGCGTCCAGGTCTGGTACTGAGTCCGCCCCCTGCTCGTGTCGTCTCCTGTCTCACGAGACTCTCCTCTGGCACCACCTCCTTGGTCACCCCTCTCTGCTTCGGCTCAGAGGCATGGCCTCCCGTCTTCTTGTTTCTGGTCTCCCTCGGTCCCTCCCTCCCCTTCCTCAGGGCCCTGGCCCTACCTGTGTCCCCTGTGTTGAGGGGCGCCAGCGGGCTGCCCCTCACTCCTCCCAGTTTCCTCCGACAGAGGCCCCGTTGCAGACGCTTCACATGGACGTGTGGGGCCCAGCCCGCGTCCGTGGACAGGGTCACGAGCGCTACTTCCTGCTCGTTGTTGACGACTACTCGCGTTACACCGCAGTCTTCCCCTTGCGCAGCAAGGGTGATGTCACAAAGGTGTTGATCCATTGGATCCGCGCAGCTTGTCTCCAGCTCAGGTAGAGCTTTGGCTCGGACTTTCCTGTTCTGCGTCTGCACTCGAACAGAGGCAGAGAGTTTTCTGCTGGCCTTCTGAGAGCTTACTGTCGTGCACGAGGAATCCGTCAGACCTTCACGCTTCCGGACTCCCCGCAGCAAAATGGGATTGCTGAGCGCCGCATTGGCATGGTCATGGACGTCGCTCGTACGTCTATGATGCATGCGGCTGCTCCCCATTTTCTGTGGCTGTTTGCGGTGAGGTACGCGGCGCATAAGATCAACCTACACCCCAGGGTCTCCAGGCCGGAGACCTCCCCAGACTTGCTGTGGACGGGGAAGGTTGGCGATGCGTCGGCGTTCCGGGTCTGGGGATCTCGGGCGTTTGTCCGTGACTTGTCTGCGGACAAGCTGTCCCCTCGTGCTGCTCCTTGCGTCTTCCTGGGGTTCCCCCCTGACGCGCATGGGTGGCAGTTCTACCACCCCACCTCTCGCCGTGTTCTATCCTCCCAGGACATCACGTTTGACGAGTCGGTCCCCTACTACCGCCTCTTCCCCTACCGCACTCCGTCCCTCCCCCCGCTGCCGCTTTTCGTTGTACCAGGTCCCCCTCCGGTAGACCCCCTCCTCCCTCAGGGTCCGTCCCCCTTCAGGTGTGTCCCAGGTAGACGGAGTCGAGCGTGTCAAGGTCAATAGTGACTCTGGTGCTGCTGAGGGTGCTGAGCTTGGGGGTGCTGACTCTGGGGGTGCTGAGCCTGGGGGTGCTGCGACTGGGGGTGCTGAGCCTGGGGGTGCTGAGCGTGGGGGTGCTGAGCCTCGGTGTGCTGAGACTAGGGGTGCTGGGCCACGCGGTGCTGAGCATGGGGGTGCTGAGCTTGGAGGTGCTCCGCCTGGAGGTTCTCCGGGTGCTTCGTCTCTGCGGGAGCCACTCTCTCCACAGGAGCTGCGAAAGTGGTTTGCCCGGCGCTGAGGCGTGCTGCTGGTGCTGGAGGTTCTTCGGCTACTGAGGGTGCTGCTGTCGCGGGTCGCGGAGGTGCTCGTACTGGGAGTACTGGAGTTGCTGGGCTTGCGGGTTCTACTGGAGCTGGTGCTGCTGAGGGTGTTGGAGCTAAGACTACTGCTGGCGGTCCTGCTGCGCGTACTCCTGGTACTGCTGGAGGTTCTGGCGCTGCTGGAGGTGCAGCTGGAGCGGGTGCTCCTTCTGGGGGTACTAGTGCTGTACCTACTGTGTTTGGCGTCGTCGCGCGGCCTCGATCGTACTTCGTTCCACTCCTGCAGCAGGTTCTTGGTCTTCCGCCTTCTACTGGTCCTCCTCCTTCTTTAGAGTGTCCACAGCCAGTCCCGTCACAGTTACAGTTGCAGCCTACCTCCCCTTTGCCTGCTCCTTCTCCCTACACTGGTCCTACTGGAGGTCTTTTTGAGCGTGGTGAGCCAGCGTCTCGCCCTGCGTCTCGTGTCCGTGCTGCTCGCGCTAGTGGTCGTGGTTCGCGTCTGCGTCCTCCTCTTGTCCCTGGCACGCACAGGATGTCTCTGCGTCTGTCCACTGCTCCTCTGCGTGCCCCTTTACCTTCTCCTCCTGAGTCCTCTCTTCCTGCTTTTGCCGACCCGGAGTCGGACTCTCTTCGTGCTTCCAGTCCTACTGTCACGCGTCTCCTGGCTACTGTCGTCACTGACCCTTCTTTCGAGTCCACTGCTGCGTCTGCCCTAGTTGCTGAGCTCGTCGACTTTGCTGCTCGCTCTCGCCTAGACTACGCTGCTAGTCTTGTCGCGGAGTCTGAGTCTGTCTGTCCTCCGTCCGTCGGGGGTGAGTGTGCCCTTGGCACGGACGTCCTTGAGGACAGGCAGGAGGAGTTCCAGTGCTTGGCCGCTGCTTCACCTCATCTCATGTCCGTACTGCTTACCCCTGAGGGAGACCCGGATGCACTTGACATCCCGACTCCACGCTCTTACGCGGAGGCGATAGAGGGTCCCTACTCTTCTCAGTGGCATGCAGCTATGGATGCAGAGATGGCTTCCTGGAAGTCCACAGGCACCTACGTTGACGCTGTCCCCCCTCCTGGGGCGAACATCGTCAGTGGCATGTGGATCTTCAGGGTGAAGCGGTCGCCGGGTTCTCCGCCTGTCTTCAAGGCGCGTTACGTGGCTCGTGGCTTCAGTCAGCGGCAGGGAGTTGACTACTTTCAGACCTTCTCTCCCACGCCGAAGATGACCACTCTTCGGGTACTACTGCACGTTGCTGCTCACCGTGACTACGAGATGCACTCTCTCGACTCAGCACAGCTTTCTTGCAGGGCAGCCTGCACGAGGAGATATGGCTGCGCCGCCCACCTGGCTTCACTTGGTCTTTCCTTCCTGGTACCCAGTGGAGTCTCCGGCATCCAGTCTACGGTCTCCGCCAGGCGCCACATGAGTGGCACGACACACTGAGGACTACGCTTGCAGCTCTTGGCTTTGCTCATTCTACTGCCGACCCGTCGCTGTTTCTACGCACCGACACTTCTCTGCCGCCGATCTACATCCTCGTGTACGTCGACGACTTGGTCTTTGCCACAGCTGACACTGCTGGACTCGCCTACGTGAAGTCTGAGCTACAGAAGAGACACACGTGCACAGACCTGGGTGAACTGCGCAACTACCTTGGCTTGCAAATCACCCAGGAGAGAGCACACCGCACCATTACCCTGACTCAGTCACACATGGTGCAGCAGGTCCTTCAGCGCTTCGGCTTCACGTACTTCTTGCCTCAGGCCACTCCTCTGCATACTCGCCACTCGCTCTCAGCTCTGCCTTCGGATGAGTCCGTAGAGTCGAGTGGCCCGTATCCAGAGCTTGTTGGCTGCCTCATGTACCTGATGACCTGCACACGACCTGACCTTGCATACCCTCTTAGCATTCTCGCACGCTATGTTGCTCCTGGGAGACACAGACCAGAGCACATGGCTGCAGCGAAGAGGGTGTTGCGCTACTTGTGCAGTACGTCGGGCATGGGGCTAGTGCTTGGAGGGCGGAGTCCAGTGGTCCTCACTGGGCACGCTGACGCTTCTTGGGCTGACGACGAGGCTACGCAGCGGTCGTCACAGGGTTACACCTTCAGCCTTGGTTCCGGCTCTGTTTCGTGGCGGGCTACTCGCTCGTCTTCTGTTCTCGGCTCCAGTTGTGAGGCTGAGATCTACACCGGGGGCCATGGCTGCACAGGAGCTTCGCTGGCTCACCTACCTGCTGACCGGCCTTGGAGAGTCGCCTCGTTCTCCTCCAGTCCTGTACGTAGACAACAAGGCCATGCTGGCCTTGTGTCGAGAGTAGAGACTGGAGCTCAGAACAAAGCACATTGCTCTTCGCTACTTCCTTGCTCGTGAGCTACAGCAGCGTGATCAGTTGCGGCTTGCGTACGTGGCCTCTGAGGCCAACACTGCTGATGTCTTCACCAAGGCACTTGCGCCTTGTGATCATCAGCGCTTCTGCACGCAGTTGGGTCTTGTGCCTGTCTTGCCGCACTTGCTCACCTCTTGACCTTGCTTGTACTGTTGCATATATATACACCTGCTCTTGCTTGTCTAGTCCTTTATATATATGTATTTCTGCATGTGAACTGGCCTTGTAGCCTTGAACTTGTGCTCGGAATGTGTGGTGACTTTGTGATCCACCCTGAGCTTGCTTTGCTTGACTGGTCTTGTGACCCCTTGTTCTCCCCCACTTTGCCTATGGGGGTGTGTCAGAACATATAGCTTGTGCTTATTGTGTAGGTTATAGTGGGGTAGCCCATAAGGGGTACAACCCAATTAGGGTTAGTACTTGTACTCAGTTCATTCATAGTTCATTCATTCTCGTTTCTTCTCAATCTTATGCTCTAGCTTGTAGTGGGGTGCTCTATAGCGAGTAAAACCCTTCTAGGGTTTGCTATTTGTATCCCCTTTCTTGCTAGTGCATCCCTCTTCTCTCTTCTAAACTTTGACATGGTATCAGAGCAAGCAAAGCATGCGGGTTCTCGAGTGGGAATACTGCATAGGGCCCACCACAAACTTTTGTTTTCCTTCCCTGCCCGTAGCGCGCCTAGCTCCTAACCCGAGTAGCGCCTCGAGCCGCATTAGTGGCCCCTTTTGGCCGCCCTTACTGCCCCTCAAGCCACCCTCTACGGCCTCGCTTTGGCCCCGCTACGGCCCCGCATCGGCCCCGCTACGGCCCCGTCGGCCCCCGCTTAGGCCCCGCTACGGCCCCGCTACGGCCGCGTCGGCCCCGCTTAGGCCCCGTTACGGCCCCGCTACGGCCCCGCTACGGCCCCGTCGGCCCCGCTACGGCCCCGCTTAGGCCCCGTCGGCGCCCGCTACGGCCCCGCTTAGGCCCCGCTACGGCCCCGCTTAGGCCCGTTGACCCCGCTTAGGCCCCGCTACGGCCCCGCTTACGCCCCGCTACGGACCCGTCGGCCCCCTTTAGGCCCCACTACGGCCCCGTATAGGCCCCGCTGCGGCCCCGCTACGGCCCCACTTCGGCCTCGTCGGTCCCTCTACGCCCCCCACTTAGGCCCCACTTCGGCCCCGTCGCCACCGCAGCCTCGCCCACCCTTGCGGCCCCGCCGCCACCTGCGACCTTGCCACCACCTGCGACCTCGCCTCCCAGCGCCCGCAACGCCGAGCAGTTGAACCACCGGCCACCTGACCCGCCCGACCTCCCGAGCCGCCCAGCAGCCGAGCCGCCCGACAGCCGAGCCACCCAGCACCGTGCAGCCGAGCCCCCCAGCAGCCAAGCCGCCCAGCAGCCGAGCCGCCCGACAGCCGAGCCGCCTCGCTCCAGCAGCCGAGCCGCCCAGCAGCCGAGCCGCCTAGCACCCGAGCCGCCCTGCAGCCACTTCACCCTGAAAATCCACATGCCACTGGACGATGTTCGCCCCAGGCGGGGGAACGTCGTCAAATTAGGTGCCTGTGGACTTCCAGGAAGCCATCTCTGCATCCATAGCTGCCTACCACTGAGAGGAGTAGGGACCCTCTATCGCCTCCGCGTAAGAGCGCGGAGTCGGGATATGTGGTGCATCCGGGTCTCCCTCAGGGGCAAGTAGCATGGACACGAGATGAGGTGAAGCTGCCGCAAGACACCGGAACTCCTCCTGCCTGTCCTCAAAGACGTCCGTGCCAAGAGCACACTCACCCCTGACGGACGGAGGATAGACAGACTCAGACTCAGCAACCAGACTAGCAACGTAGTCTAGACGACAGCGAGCAGCAAAGTCGACAAGCTCAGCAACTAGGGCAAACGCAGTAGTGGACTCAAAGGAAGGGTCAATGACAACAGTAGCAAGGAGACGCGTGACAGTAGGACTGGCAACGCGAAGGGAGTCTGACTCTGGGTCAGCAAGAGCAGGAAGAGAAGACTTGGGAGGAGAAGGCAAAGGGGCACGCAGAGGAGCAGTGGGCGGACGCACAGACATCCGGTGCGTGCCAGGGACAGGGGTAGGACGCTGACGCGAACAACGACCACCAGTGCGAGACGCAGGGCGAGATGCAGGCTCACGACGCTCAACAAGACCTTCAGTAGGACCACTGTAGGGAGAAGGAATAGGCAGAGGAGAGGGAAGCTGGAAATGTGACTCCAACTGGACAGGCGGTGGACACTCTAAGGGAGGAGTCGGAGCAGAGGGCGGAAGACCAAGAACCTGCTGAAGGAGCGGAACGAAGTACGGCCTTGGCCGCTCGGCACCACCAGCACCAGAAGGGACACCACCAACGCCACCAGCACCCCCAGCCCCAGCAGCACCAACTCCAGCACCCTCAGCGGCACCAGCACCAGAAGCACCCTCAGCGCTAGCACCCACAACAGCACGAGCTCCAGCTCTAGCACCGCCAACAGCTGCAGCAGGTCCACCAGCTCCAGCACCAGAAGCACCCGCAGGCCCAACAGCTCCAGTACTCCCAGTACGAGTACCTCCGTAACCCGCGGCACTAGCACCCTCTGCAAGCAGCAGAACCTCCAGCGCCCGCAGCACCTCTAGCGCCAGCAGCACGCCTCCAGCGCCGGGCAAACCACTCACGCAGCTCCTATGGAGAGAGTAGCTCCCGCCGGGACGAAGCACCCGAGGAACCACCAGGCCCCAGTACCACAAGACGCCACACAAGCAGGCCCAGTACCCTCAGACTCCGCACCCCCAGACGCAGCACCCCAAGGCTCAGCACCCCCAGACGCAGCACCCCCAGGCTCAGCAACCCCAGGCAAAGCACCCCCAAGCTCAGCACCCCCAGTCGCAGCACCCCCAGACTCAGCACCCTCCAGGCTCAGCACCCCCAGACCTCGCAACCGCAGGCTCAGCACCCCTAGCAGCACCAGAGTCAACAGCTACCTCGACAGGCTCGACTGCCTTCTTTCGTGGGACATACCTAAGGGGGGGAGGACCCTGAGGGAGGAGGGGGTCTACCGGAGGGGGACCTGGCGTAAGAAAGAGCGGCGGGGGGGGGGGGAGGGGACGCAGTGCGGTAGGGGAAGAGACGGTAGTAGGGAACCGACTCGTCAAAAGTAACGTCCTGGGAGGACAGAACACGGCGTGAGGTGGGGTGGTAGAACTGCCAGCCTGGCGCGTCAAGGGGGGAAGCCAAGGAAGACGCAAGGAACAGCACGAGGGGACAGCTTGTCCGCAGACAAGTCGCGGACAAACGCCCGAGATCCCCAGACACAGAACGCAGACGCATCGCCAACCTTCCCGTCCACAGAAAAGTAGGGGAGGTCTCCGCCATGGAGACCCGGGGCTGAAGGTTTGATCTGATGCGCCACGTACCGAACCACAAACGACCACAGAAAATGGGGGGCAGCCGCATGGACCATGGACGTACGAGCGACGTCCATGACCATGCCAATGCGGCGCTCAGCAATCCCATTTTGTTGTGGAGAGTCCGGAAGCGTGAAAGTCTGGCGGATTGCCTCGTGTTTGACAGAAGGCTCGCAAAAGGTCAGAGGAGAACTCTCCGCCTCTATTGGAGTGCAGACGCAGAATAGGAAAGTCCGAGCTGAAACTCTCTCTGAGCTGGAGACGAGCTGCGCGGATCCAGTCGATCAACACCTCAGCGACCGCACCCTTGCTGCACAAGGGGAAGACTATGGTGTAACGCGAGTAGTCGTCAACCACCAGCAGGAAGTAGCGCTCGTGATCCTGTATCCCGGAGGTCAGCACCACTCACCAAGTTCGTAGAGAACGAGGGAAGGTAAAGACCTGATAGGTTGCCATAAGGAGCCGCCGGACACGGTAGGACATTAGAGAAGTGGGTAAGGACCGGACCCCCACAGGGGCCTGCCAAGGAGACTGCCACTGGCCGACTAAGCGGCGTGAGGGTGGTGCGGTCCTCAAAAGAAGGAGCGGGAAGCACCCGAGTCAAGGGTGAAGGTGTAGGTGGCCAGAGCCGACGCGGTACCTGAGAGCGCAGACTCACCAGCACCTGGGGCAGTAGACTCACTGGCACCTAGAGCAGCAGCCTCACCAGCACCTAGAGCAGCAGCCTTAATGCCGGGTCAAGCGGAAAGCACCGGTAACAGTCACCCTCATCACTAATAGTCACAGCATACATGGCAGCAAGAATAGCATCATAGTGAAGATCAAAGATCGCAACAACCCGCCCTAAACAGCTCGCCCCATCGAGGGATCTCAATAGCGTTGGGGAATGGGTGACGCGAAGCGTATGTCAGACGGCCGAAGCAGCGCTGGGTGGAGTGCGGACCCCCACACTGCTCACACCCGCGCGGTCGGCGGTACGGAGATCGTAGGTACAGGGGCCAGCACCCCCACCCCGCTGACGAGCAGTGTACCACTCACGAAGCTGCTGGGGGGAAGGGGTCTCACGATGTGCGCTGTTGCTGCTGCTGCTGGCACTGACCACCACCGGAGCCGACCCTCTGCGTAGAGCCGCCCCCGACCAGCTCCACCTCCGCCGCCGCTACCTCCACGACCGCCTCCACCTCCGCCACCTCCGCCCGCCACTGCCACCATCGCCTCCTTCTCCGCCTCCACTGCCGCCCACTAGTGCCCCCACCCCCGCCACCACTCCCACCACCACCGCCACCCCCTCCGCCATCTCCACCGCCGCCTTCCACCGCCCCCGCCAGCTCCTCCAGCGCCCTTGCCCCCCTTGCCCTTGCCTGAGCGGCGTCTCCCGCTAGGGCAAACGCCGCGCCGACCGACTCAAGACCAATGAGGTCGGCCACAGCACCAGAGGCAACAGAGGGCAATGTGAAGATAGTAGCCAGAGTTAGGAGCCATAGCTAGGTAAGCCCTAGCTAAACAAGATGAAGTTTAGGCAAAAGAGAGAGGATTTTACTAGCAGCAATGAGGA